GACCCAGGGCTTTCTGTGCATTTTCTTGAGCTATAAGATTTTTCTGTACCTACTATTCTTTAAACTTACCCCAGTGATTATCATACCTCGGACATATTCCACAAACACGACTCAAAATGGAATGATTTCATCACGATGTCTCCTGACTGATAGGAACTTACGTTGTTTCTAATATTTTATACAGAATTACCCATCTTTCCACTGGCGTCACTCATTATTTCTGATGACAGACTCCCAAAGTAGAACTGCTGGGCCAAAAAGTCTGTCTTATTTCAAAGGCTGTTGAGTAACGATCTCAAACCCACGGACCACAATGAGGTGTCCTAGCTGCTGTGACAGCGCATGGCTGGTCGGAAGGCCCCACAGCCCCACACTTTCTCTGCAAACCGAGACACCGCCGGGTCAGCAGGTCAGGAGGCAGCAGGGCTGCCCCACTGACCTCAGCACCCTGCAGTCCGCGCCAGAGCCCCCATAGGACCATGAGCCACTGATCCCCCAGAGTCAACTCATCCCTGTTTGGATGCCCACAGCTGGGCATGTTTGATGGTGTAATATTCGATAAAGAGTCTCTGTCCTTGACATTCTTCTGGTAAAATGCTGTGGTTCTGGGAGTTTCCTGTGGGTCCAGTGGCTAAGGGTCCACAATCCCAACCCAGGGAGCCTGAGTTCGATCCCTGGTCAGAGAACTAGTAGCAGATCCTGCGTGTCACAACTAAGACCAGGCATAGCCAAATTAAGCTTAAAAATGAATATTTTTAAAAGTGCCATAGTTCCTCCTCTTGCACCTATCTTTCCAGATGAGCTTCTGAATCATATTAGTAGGTGGTGGGCTGCCCCCTGCAGGCCTGCAAGACCTGTCCTTGCCCAGTTTCAAGATCAGAGAGAGCCCAGAGTGAGCAGCAGACATCGGGGCTTCACAGAGGCAGACCTGGAGGGTCTAAAGCAAGGTCCTGGAGTGACGCCCCACTGCCATGGGGCAGGACATGAGGATTGCTTTCCCTCTGGAGGGAGGGGGAGCTGTGGGGGCACTGACGTCAGGTCAGCTCATCCGTTGGGAATCAGTGGAGGAGCACAGCCCCAACTATCCCTGTGATAAGCTATCAAGGCGGAGACGTGCAGATCTAAAGATTCAATTCAGTTCAGTTGCTCAGTCGTGTCCAACTCTCTGTGACCCCATGGACTGTTGCACGCCAGGCTTCCCTGTCCGTCACCAATTCCTGCAGCTTACTCAAACTCACATCCATCAAGTCAGTGATGCCATCCAACCATCTCATCCTCTGTCGTCCCCTTCTCCTCCTGCCTTCAATCTTTCCCAGCATCAGGGTCTTTTCCAATGAGTCAGTTCTTTGCATCAGGTTGCCGAAGTATTAGAGCTTCAGCTTCAACATCAGTCCTTCCAATGAACTTTCAGGACTGAGTTCCTTTAGGATGGACTGATTGGATCTCCTTGCAGTCCAAGGGACTCTCAAGAGTCTTCTCCAACACCACAGTTCAAAAGCATCAATTCTTTGGCACTCAGTTTTGTTTTTTTTTTTTTTAATAGTCCATCTCTCACATCCATACGTGACAACTGGAAAAACCATAGCTTGACTAGATGGACCTTTGTCAGCAAAGTAATGTCTCTGCTTTCTAATATGCTGTCTAGGTTTGTCATAGCTTTTCTTACAAAGAACAAGTGTCTTTTAATTTCATGGCTGCAGCCACCAACTGCACTGATTTTGGATCTAAAGATTAGAACACTTGTTAGCTGGGGGGCAGAGGGCAAGCAGGAAGGTTTTCACTGATTAGGCTCTAGGATGAAGAGGGAAGGTCAGTCATGCAAGTGGGTGTGGGTAAGGCAGGGACTGGATGACCAGAGAGCAAGGAAACAGCTGGTTTGGGGGAGTCTGACCACATAGTGGGTTTAGAAATATCCAGATACAGTTTTGCTTGGACTCATCCTGAGTCCTTAGAACCCAGGAGAATCAATCTGCTCTCCTATCCTTGCCCAGCATCCAGACCAGAGCCCAGTCAGTGGCTGCCTCTCCCTCTCACACTGTTTCTGTAACCTCAGTGACACTGAGTCACCTCACAGGAAGCCTCTGCCTTCCTGGATGAGTTTGTTCTGAGCTTGTCCCATTCAGGTCAGGTCTGTCTGTCCCTGTTCCATTTTCAAGTCACCACTGACTTTCTACAGGAAACACGTTCTCTCCACATTTGTGTTTTGTTCTCTCCATGTCCTCCAGCCTCACCGCCCAGCCCCCTCACTGTCTCCCCTCACGTCTGCACGTGCAGGGGTCTGGGTGGGAAGGACGCTCTTGCATTTCCAACTGCACCCACACTCGCCCACAGTCCTTCTGCCCTGGGCTCAGCGGAAATATCCCTGTGGTCTCAGTGATTGCACACCACATTCCCAGCTTCCTGTGCTGTGGGTGACTTGTGTCTCATTTACTTTGTTTGTCCTTTCTGTATTTCTTAACTTTCCACAGAGCCCTGGTGAGAAGGAAGGGCATGGACCTGCACTGTACCACCGGCCTGTGGCCACTTCAGCCTGCTCAGCTCCCACTGTTCCTGGGGGAGCCTGAGGCACAGCCAGGACAGCGTGTCAGTGGCACTGGCTCACACACGGGGCAAACATGCCTCAAGAAACAAAGGTCCAGCACAAACCCCGACCCCCCTTCCTTTGCAAGAGGGGGTCAGAGGCTGGTCTGATGCCGAGCCTGGAGGCCTGGCTCTCTCACAGGCAGCCAGTGACCACGGGACAGCACACCTCCCCTTATAGAAAAGGCCGTGCCAAGACCCAGGCCGGGGCTGCAAGGTCCCAGAGCCCCGTGACAGCTGATCTTCGAGGCTGCTTGCAAGTTCATCCCTTAGCCATGTGTGTTGATGGAAGGTTTCCCTTCTTCCTGGAGCTGTTTCTTGAAGATGTGGATGAAAAGCGGAGGAACTCTTGGTGAAATCTGTATCGTGTCTTTTCCTCCAAGGATTGCTCCTAAGACATTTTAAAAATACATGTGGAAAAAATCCAGGTTTTCCAAAACAGAAAATGTTATGAAATAACACTGCCTATTTCCTCTTTTCTAGATAAAACAGAAAACATGTTTCCCATCTCCACTGGGAATGGGTGTAGCGTGTGCCAATGTGCACACAGAAAGGGCCCTTTTTATCAGACGCCCTGCAAGGATGGTGCCATCGCCAAGGACACAGGCGAGCACAGCACTGCCCTCCCAGTGGGGATGCCCTCCCGTGGGGGTGCCCTCCCCTGTGGATGCCCAGCAAACAGGGAAGGCACAGATGCCTGGAGCACCTCCTCCTCCTCTTATGCAGAGAGAACCGAGCTCAGGCCCTAAACCCCCAGACTCAGTCTCCTCATGGGTAAGACCAGGAAAATGAAGGTTTATGATGAGAGTTTAATAAAAACTGTGTCCCAAGTGCTTCACCCACTACCCAATACACCCAGCAAATGGCCACTATTACCATTACTGCTACCTTCATCCTTCGACTCTGCCATATATGTAGGAAAGCCCCTCTCCTGGGACCGGCGATCTGCACGACTTCTTCCACAACTTCTTCACCTGCAAACAGGTTGCTGAAAAGAAGGCCAGCCTTGAGGATTTCATGGAGTAAACATCAAGGAGTCTGAAAGAGCTCTTAATGGCCAAAGCTGGAATGATCTGAGGAAAAAATAATCTTTACTTTTAATGTAATGAGTGTGCCAGTACTGACTAACCTCCCATAGACCCTTACATCTGGGTCCACATGATAAAAACATTCAATAAAAGAAATATGGAAGGAGCAGTGTTCTCCTACAGAAAAGTCCTATTAATAAGTGAGGAAAGAGGGACTTCCCTGGCAGTCCAGAAGTTAAGACTGTGTTCCCAAGGAACGGGGGCATGAGCTCAATCCCTGGTTGGAGAACTGAGATCCTGCATATCCCACATACCACCAGGTGCAGCCAAAAATAAATAAATAAGGAATGAGGGAAACAAGAGTATCACCATTAGGCAAACAGTCTTGTAATTGTTTCCAGCAACTAGGCAAAAACTTGAAAAGAAACAGGATGCTGCATAGCCTCAAGGCAACTGTCTCACAACATGCATCAATTGCCCTGGGGATGACAGGATGAGATGGTTGGATGACACCACCAATTCAATGGATATGAGTTTGACAAACTCTAGGAGACAGTCAAGGACAGGGAAGCCTGGCATGCTGCAATCCACCAGATTGCAAAGAGTTGGACACAACTTAGCGACTGAACAACAACCACCCTGGGGAGGTGGCAGGAAATGGTGGTCTAGGGCATATTTTTAGATCAGAACTTCTCAAAAGCACTCTGCTTGCATTCCCTCCCCATCCAGTTTGAGACTCTGCTGAAATATTAACTGCAGAGTACTTCTGATTTAGAACAAACTACAATCCTTGAAACGACTTACAAAAACCATAGGCTTGAAATGACGGTTAAAAGACATAAAGCTAACACACGCGGCTTAGTATTTCAACGTTTATTTTGCACAAATGCCCAGTCTTCACCACTCCTCCCACTCACTGTCCCATGGCCCATGCAGGAAGGCCCATGCACCTTCCTCTGGGTGAACGCGGTCACGGGTGTCTAGAGAACAGAAGAAGTCGGAGAGGCTAAATCTACACAGTACTTACTGTCTGAGATGGAAGACCTTAGCTAGGAGGGGCTGCGAGAAGACAGGCGAGGGCAGACGCCAGGCACACACCCTCCCCAACCCTCTTTCCAGGACCCCAGTTCTCTGACAGCACACCTAGGACCGAGCCCCCGGGAGGTGTGTCATCCTGGGTGGTCTCCTTGCTGGCCAGGCACGTCACTCAACAGTGGGGAAGATACACTAAATGTAAATGTGAAAGCGTAAAACACTTATCTATTTGAAAGAGACAAATTCACCCGCGCCTCTGTTACAACCAGAGCGTGGCCTGATAGCGGACAGAATGCAGGGAGGCCCTTCCTTCACTCCTTGCTCCCTCTCCTCCTACTCCGCTTCTTATCCTTCCCCATGGGCCTCAGAAACAGATCAGAGAGGCCCACTTTGCAGTCAGAGAAAGGAACCAAGGACGGGACACGGAGAGACGGCGGGGAAGGGGTTCGGGGACCGGGCATTGGGCAGAGGGCCACGCGGCGCCGGCGCTTCCGGTCGCCTTCTGATGGCGTCAGCGGCGCTCGCAGCCTGGGAGGACAGAACGCGCCGAAAGCAGGCCGAGCCCGAGCTGCGCCGCGTGAACGGCACGGCCGGCTCCCAGCGGAGGCTCCTGAATGGCAGCGGCTGCAGACCACAAACGACCCTGAGCAGAGCGGGACAGGCGACAGCGGGCGACAGATACCGGAGACAGCAGGCGGGGAGGCCCCTTCATCCGCCCGGAGCCCGCGAGCGCCCACCCCGCGCGCGCCGGGGCCGCCGCCTCCCGCGCCTGCGCAGTCTCCGCCTCCCCGTCGACGCGCGCTCCCGGCCGCTTCGGTCGAGGCCGTCTGGTACTGCCTAGTTCGGAGGCAGACGCTCTACCTGGGTTTTCAGCCGGCACAGCGCCCGCCCCCCAGCTCTCCTGACAGTCATCTTGGCCCTTCTTCCCAAAGTGTCCGCCGCCACCCCTCCTCTCTCGACCCCCTCACCTCGCCTATCCGCGGAGACTGGCGGTGCGCCAGCGTCCAGCTCTGCGCATGCGCGGGACCTCCGTCCCGCCTCTGGTCGGCACTCAGCTCTGCGCATGTGCGGGGCCTCCGCGCCGTACCTGGCAGGCACTTGTGGGCGGTTCCTCCCGCGTGGCCACGCGGGGCGCGGGCCTCGGCCTTTGGGCTTAAGCTTCACAGTGCAGTTTACCCTCAACACGGATACAAGATGCTTGCAGTGTTTAATCTTCAGTGTAAGGTTTTCTCTAACAGGAACTCCCAATGAATTACGGTTTTCTAAGTGAATACTAATGACGAAGAAGGGATCGTCATCATTTAATATGTCCCAGTGGCTTCCGGCTCTCCTGGCGGCTCAGCTGGTGAGGAATCCGCCTGCAATGCGGGAGACCTGAGGTCGATCCCTGGATTGGAAAGATCCCCTGGAGAAGGGAAAGGCTACCCACTCCAGTATTCTGGCCTGGAGAATTCCATGGATTGTATAGTCCGTGGGTGGCAGAGTCGGAGAAGACTGGGCGACTTTTAACTTTCAGTGGCCTCCATACTGCTATTTATCTTAGCTCCATTTAGGTTCAAAAGGCCTGCAGCCAACTAAAGTCTTCACTTCCTTGTTAGAACCTTTTTTGTTTTGTTGGGAGGTGGGCCCACTTGTTTCTCTGTAGGGATCTTGGTTGCCAGGACTCTGAAGTTTGTCCCGCCACCCAGGGACAAGGGGGGAGAGTGGGGGTGGGGGGTGGGGTCAAGGGGAGTGTGCTGTCAGGATACCAGGGAAGAGTTTGGGGAAAGGAAATCTTGGGAAATGGACACAGACACACACACACTCCGCCGCCCCCCCCCCACCCCCCACCTTAGGGCCGGGAATGGGTGGCCCAGACTGAGACAGTTATTGGCCCCAGAGGGGATTGCAGGGTCATTTCCACTTTCAGGTGGGTGGTGTCCTCCTTTCCACATGAAGTTAACCTACCCAATAATGGGGAGAGAAGGACTGCCATTCCAAATGTGCTCCATGCAGTCTGGGCTAAGGGTCAGAGTGATGCCTCATTTCCCCTTTGTGTGGGAGGTGGGCCAGGTGGTTACACAGGCCTTACCTATTCAGGTTTTGCCCACCTGGGAGGTGCCACAGCACCCAGACAGCACACCCACTCAGCTCTCCCCACTCCCTCTGAGTTATGTTTCTTGAGAATTGGGGGCTGTGGCCTGTGAGGTGCATGAGTATTGGGATCGGGGGTGGAAGGTGTGTCTTGTCCTAAACTCTCATAGGCAAGAGTGGTGTATTCCTCAAAGGCAATGAAAACAAAGGTCAAGGAAGGAATACCAGCTTGGCCTTCAGTCCAGTGTTTGAAATGAATATGATTGGCTGGGTCCAAGCAGGAATATGGGATATCTGGGTCGCAGAGTCAGAGATGACTGAGCAACTGAACTGAACTGACTAAGGCAGAAATATAGTCTGGGAGGAAGCCCGCCAGGAAGGAAAGGGGACTACATGACACTCCCAGGGTGTGGAGGTGATAGAGACAGAAGTGACAAAGTAGATGATTAAATAGTTAATCCCGCTGGAGGATTATAAGTAGAAACCGATAGGAGAGACCCCTGTAAATTAATGATTACTCAAGGAAGCAGATTTGCTTAACCACAAAACCAAGCAAGCTTGCTCAGCGACAAAACCAGGTTGCAGAAGCATCAGACAGGCCCTCAAAGAAGGAAACAATGACAGCATGGGACCCACATACTGCCCAGTGAGTTCAGTAAGTCAGTGCTCCCTCAGACACGATCTCTGACCAGAAAACAGTAACTTGTGGACCTAGCTTGACTACGTGGAGACGAGCAAAGTCCTTGCTCAACCTAGAGGAGGACCTGATGATGGAAGCATGACATCTTCTCAAGAAAGACAAGTTCTCCCTCTCCCCACTTTTCCTTTGATTATAAAACTGTAGCCCATCTCTGGTGGCTCAGTGTTGAAGAATCCTCCTGCCAATGGAGGAGACATGGGTTCCATCCCTGGTCCAGGAAGATCTCACATGCATGGAACCACTGAGCCCGTGCGTCGCTACTATTGAGCCTGGGCTCTACTGAGCCCATGTGCCACAGCTACTGAAGCCCACATGCCCCAGAGCCTGTGCCCTGCAACAAGAGAAGCTGCTGCGATGAGAAGCCCACACACCACAACTAGACAGTAGCCCCCACTTGGCACAACTCGAGACAAGCCCATGCAGCAAAGAAGACCCAGCACAGACAAGAATGAATAGCTTAATTAATTAATTAAAAAAAAACTGTAGCCCAGTAAGTTCTGGGGCACAGCATTTCTCACCCACCTATTTGTAAACCTCACAAACATCCTGTTCTAATAAATCACTTCTTATCTGTCACTTTGTTTCACTAAATTCTTTTCTACACTGAGACAAAAAGAACTATGGTAACAGAGCTCTTTGTCGCCCCCTGAAACAACACCAAATGGTGTCAAAGGGGTGAGGGGACTTGGGCCTGGCAGGACAGAGGAAGGGAGTGGCCAGGCAAAACATGGTTCCCATGGGCAAATTTTATTCCAGGTGAGAGCAGTGCTAAACCAATCCCAGAATGTTGCCTGAAATTTGTATCACAATCTGGTTTTAGATTGTATTTCTACTCGATCTGTCACTCTCTTAAAAATAGAATACGGCATGGCAATTCTGACTATTTCAGTTCTGGTTAATCAAGATTTTAGTGCACTAAGATTTTATTGGCTAATTAGAATTAATTATAATTTGGGGATATTTAACCATGCTATCAAGCAAATTTCACCGTTGCAAATGGAGAATGAAATCAAGTACCCATGACTCTAAGCGATCTGTTCATTTTCACTGACTTGAACGGGGTTAAGTAGCCCGGTCAGTTGGGCTGCCTCTGCAGTTCTTCCAGAACCACTACCTGAATTCTGGGAGAGAAAGGCTTTCAGAGGTCAAGGGAAGAATGAAAGACAAAGGAACAGCTATCAGGACTCTGCAGTACAGGTTTTTCCAGCGATATGAGCAGTAATGTCCACCCCAGGTGGCTGGGTCCCAAGCCCCCTCAGGGCCAGTATACCTTTTGTCCTGGTTTATTTGAATTTAAGCAGAAACGTGTTTTCCCTGACTGAGAAAGCCTGTTTATGTGAACATTTTTTTATAGACAACTCCCTTCTGTTTTTTTTCTCATCTACTCTTGAGTAATTCCTGGAAATAACATAAAGAGACATAAGTGACCTTCACCTGGACACAGGTCCAGCGTTCCCTCTGATGCGCTTTACTAAAACAAGGTGAGAGCAGAGGCTGGTATATTTTTAGATGAAATTTCATTGGGAAATAGTTTTGATGTTATCTATAATCCTCTGGCTAGTGTTTAAAACCAGTATTTATAATGCTGCCTAAGAACTTTGGAGTAAATGGATTTTAATCAAGAAAAGCTCTTTTAGAGTTCTCTATTGTAAGAGAGGCTCAGCAAGTAAGAGGAGTGGAGAGGAGACTAACAGAGGAGGAGATCCTGCAGGACCCAGAGGTGGCAGCCAGGAACCAGATAAAAGTGAACCCAGGGCAGCAGACAGCTGAGCCCACGCCTGGGCCTCCCAGGAACAGAGAACTCGGCAACTCAGCAGCAGCCTCAAGTATGCGCTGGCCTGTTTACAGTCCTGCAACGTGAGCACTGCCCACGCCTCTGCCTCTTCCTTCCGCTTTCATCTCCCAGCTCCTCTCAGACGTTCACCCTTCCTTTGTGAGGCTGATGCATATGCCTTTTGTTCTGTAGCCATAATTCATCACTGGTCTTGGTGTCAGGTGGCAGCGTACGTGCCTCAGTCCTCCTGTGTCTCCTTTTTCCTAGTTCTATCCATAGTGGCCGCCGACCATCGCTCCCGCTCTGTCAGTCCTGTGAGGTGTGGCTTGAACAGGGTCTGAGCAGGAGTGTTTACACCCCACCTGTATTGCTTTCTGGAGAGTCTCAACTCAGTAAAAGGGGAGAGAAAATGATAATGTGCTGATTATGCTCAATACTGTGTTGAAGCCAATATACCCAACAGCACAAGAATATGGAGGAAATACTCTTTTAATATTAGAAAACTAACATCCAGTTCAGGAAAGAAGTCGCTGACAAGCAAGAAAAGATCAGATTGAGTTTTGTGGCTTCACTTTTGTCTTATCCATTAAGGCAAAAAAAAAGAAAGAAAGAAATCCACTAACGTGTGGAAAGGACCCTTGCTGGTCAGCTACAAGCACAGGTTACCGACAGATATAAGAGTTCTCCAAAAATCAACAGAAGTATCCTGTGAGAGTCGACTGATTGTCTGGAACTTACAATGAAGAGTATTGTGTGTTTTTTAAATTATGGTTAAACTATGTTTTCCAGACTCTCTACCAGAATGTGCGATAGGCTTGTGTACACATGTGCATGTGCGCATTGTTTTTGAGTTCTGGCTGTTAGACTACAAAGTCCAGATGCAAGGAGATCGACTTATTGCATGATGCACCCATTTTTGCATAGATTTTTGGTGATTTTCAGCGATTCTATTTGACTCATTATAATTGTGGCAAGCTGTGCATTTACTCCACAAATGCCCCGTGGTCCATGCTGAGTACATCATTGCCACGGATGCTGTTTCCTGCTCCTTGGGAGGTCAGACCCGGGTGGGACCCTGTGAGGGTCACCGCAGATTCACAAGTACTTGTGGAAAACCAAGAGCCACTAGACGGCCTCCTTCTCCTCAGCAGCATCTCAGAGACTGGTCGCCAGTGACGCATCCCTCCTTGCTCAGCGTCCAAGCTCTCCAGGCCGCTGTAGCAGCCACCGTGGCTGAGCCCTCTGCCTCTGGCCTTGGACCCACTCTGCTCCACGCCTGGCCTCGTTCAGGAGCCGAGCAGGCCCTGCAGCTGACCTCAGGGGTCTGGTGCTTCCACAGACAGTTGGGGCTGTCTGGGCTGGGGGAACATGGGCTCATGGGCACCCCTGAGGGTGCGGAGGGCTGACCCTGGGGACAGGTGATTCGTGTCTGCCCGGACACACTGTGGGTGGGTGGCTAGCCAGGGCTGGTTGGGCTGCCTCCCGGAGCATGGCTGGAGGACCTGGAGGATTTTGCCCGGGACTGTTTGTCCAAGCTGCTTCTGAATGGAACCTCCTCACATAGGACACAATGGGTGTGTCTGTGACAATGAGTCTAAGTGACATCCTAGAGACATCAAACAGGGGTGGCAGTGTGGTGGGAAGATTGTGCAGCCACATGCCACAGTCCTGTGGCCAGCGTCCTCTCAGCATTGGCCTGTGGTGTGTATGTGGGCCAGATGGAACAAGAGTACAGGTTTCAGATCATGTTTGGATCTCCCTTGGAATAAAGAGGGCACCAGTGTGGCCTCCCATTCAGCTCCCTTCACAAGCCTTCCCTAACTGTCCTCCATCCAAACAGAGAGTGCTGCTCTCCAGACATAATTAAATAAAAATAAACATTGATGGGAACATTACAGGACATACCCTTGCTGCCCTCTTTCTGAAGCTGGAACCATGATGGATGACGCATTGTTGGATTATTACAAAAGGTGGATCAGCTTATGAATTTCAGTAGAATCTAAAATATCATCAGTGAGCACAGACAGCTTAATGGTTCATAAAATGACAGCTTGATTGCTGACATGAAGGTCTAGAAGGAGGGCCTGGCCTTTCCAAGCAACCTTGGCCTAAGAACATGAATTTTCTCAGGAGCCTTTGTTTCTTCCTGTCCCACCCCTGGAGTTCTGGGGCCTCCGGAATCTGCATTCTATACAGGACCTGTTTGTCTCAGACAGCAACATGGCTGCATTTTGGGAACAAACTGAAGATGACCAGGGTGGCTCAGCTGCTCCTACGCAGGACTCAGGCCTCCTGGGCAGGTGACACACTCCCTCAGCAGTGCAGACGTTTCAGGTGCTGGGGAATTGACACCTGAACACAGGCTGTACATGGTTTACATCACAGCCTGTTCACACAGAGCAGATGTTAAGACAACAGGTTAGGTTTGGACAGACCTTCAGCACACCTGCTGCGTAAACTTGGATGGTCACCTCCCTTGCATCCCCAGAGCTGGGGTGTCACCTTGTACTACAGAAAGCATCATGAGGCACAACATAAGGAGATAACAATCCTCCTTGAGCCAGCCCAAGGGCAGGTGGTCACTGCAAGTGTCCCTCCCAGGCCCCTCTGGAGACCTCTGCCTCCCTGTTGTGTTTCTGTTCGTGTCTCAGCCCGGAAGCTGTGATGGAGGGTGTGGTCTGCAGGGCAGAAGACCTGGGTCCAGGAGTTCTTAGCTGGTCACAAGATCAGAAAGGTGAGACTTTACGTTAACTGGTGGGAGAGGGGCTGTGGTGCGAGGTGGACACTGAGGCAGAGCTGGAGATGGTGCGGTGGGTTTCCCAGTACATGCAAAAGCTGCCTCCTGAGGAGGGTCGAAGTGGTCAGCTCTTCTTAGCATCCTGGGGACTGAGGGCTACCATGAGAACAGGGACATGGCAGAGATGCTGATGAAGGCCCTGTGTGTTCCGGTAGCAGCAGCTGCCTTGGAATAGTCACAGATGTGGCCAGTGTTGCTTGTTATTCCCATGATTAGGTTCAGCTGTGTAAACAGAAACCCAAAATAACAGTGGCTAAAATAAGTCAGAAGTGTATTTTATTTCATGTACAGGAAGCATGGAGGTTGGCATTGCCAGGTCACATGAATTCATATTAGGATCACTAATGACCAAGAATGCCTCTACCTTGCTGCTCATGACTTCCCTTTTCTCCCCCAAAGTGGCTGCTGGAGCTCCAACCTTCACATCTGACCACTCCCCAACTTCAGGGAGATTTCCAGAAGCTCTCAGACACTACTCCTGCTTACACATCTTCATCTCCAACTTACCTGCTGACCTGCAGCAGAGTCTGGACAATGCATCCATGGTTCAGGTGACTGGGACTTCCCCGGCAGTCCAGTGGCTAAGATTGTACTCCCAGTGAATTCAGGGAGCCCAGGTTTGATCTCTGGTCAAGGAACTAAATCCCACATGCCGAGACTAAAGATCCTGCATGCCACAACTAAGACCTGGTATAGCCAAATAAAATAAATTAATTTCCAAAAACTTAAAAAAAGAAACAGGTCAGGTGGCCATGTGCACACCTGAAAGTCAGGCAGTTGTATATAGGTCACACCCTTTACTATAATAAAGCAGTAAACATAAGGAGTGTTTGCCTGAGTTTTGTGAGTCACTTTAGCAGATCACTGAACACTTCTATGGCAAACCTAGACAGTGTATTAAAAAGTAAAGACATTACTTTGCTGACAAAGGTCTCTCTAGTCAAAGCTCTGATTTTTCCAGTGGTCATGTATGGATGTGAGAGTTGGACTATAAAGAAAGCTGAGTGCCAAAGAATTGATGTTTTTGAACTGTGGTGTTGGAGAAGACTCTTGAGAGTCCCTTGGACTGCAAGGAGATCCAACCAGTCCATCCTAAAGGAACTCAGTCCTGAATGTTCATTGGAAGGACTGATGTTGAAGCTGAAGCTCCAATACTTTGGCCAACTGATGCAAAGAGCTGACTCATTGGAAAAGACCCTGATGCTGGGAAAGATGGAAGGCGGGAGGAGAAGGGGACGACAGAGGATGAGATGGTTGGATGGCTTCACCGACTCGATAGACATGAGTTTGAGCAAGCTCTAGGAGTTGGTGATGGACAGGGAATCCCGATGTGCTGCGGTCCATGGGGTCACAAAGAGTCAGGCAAAACGACTGAGCGACTGAACAACAAAGATGTGGTCTGCGCCAGAATCACCTGGGACTTTGTGGAAAATGGGACCTGCAGAACAGGATCTGTGGTGGGGCCCTGCTGTCTGCATTTAACAAGCTTCCTTGGTGAACCCCATGTTCATGGGAGCTTGAGAAGCAAAGGCATTTGTTGGTGATAAGAGCCATGGGAGCCGAGAGAGGCTGCCCCTGTTCCCAGCCAGGCGACCCTGGGCACCTCCCTGCCCATCTGTCCAGGCCCTTCTGGCTGCCAGACCAAAGATGCCACAGACTAGTCTTTACTGGTCACAGTTTTGGGTCTAAGACCAGGGCACCAGCAGGGTCGGGGGAGGGCCCCCTCCCTGGTTCAGAGATGGCCATCTGCTTGCCTTGTCCTCACTTGGTGGAAGGGCATGGGGGACCCAGTCTCTTCTTACAAGGGCACTAGTCCCATTTGTGAGGGCTCTGCCCCCGTGACCTAGTCGCCTCTTGAAGGCCAGCCTAGACACCATGCCACAGGGGTTAGGACTTCACCATATGAATGCTGGGGGGGCTTGAACATTCAGCTCACTGCATCACCTGAGTCTCACTTCTCTCTTACAGACGGAAGTAGCATCTCTCTAAGGTTCTTTTGGTTTGAAATAAGAGAAGTCAAAGCGAAACTAAATCAGACAAAAAGTAAACATAATTTTATTAGCTCCTGGCATTGAAAGCTTCCAGGAGTTGGACTCTGGCAGACAGATGGATGCTCAGCCCAGGGCTGTCACACTGGAAGTACCAGGGTCTCACACTGCCCAGCCTCAGCCAGGCGCCTGCCCACCAGATCCCACCAGGTCCTGCCAGATTCGCCAGGCCCCTCCAGGTCCCGCCAGATGCCACTAGATCCAGGGAGAGACCAGGCAGCTCCCCAGAAGACCTCATCTGAGGCTTCGGACAAAGCCCACCTCTGGCCTCACACAGGGAGGAGTTGGTGAGCTTGTGCCTGTGAAGGACCCAGCCTGCACCTCTCAGAGCGAGGGCTCTCCCAGTCCAGCTCGGAGCGGTCATGTCGTGTGTCATGTTCACGGTTCTGCATGGCCCTGGCTACTTCTAGGACCCAGAACCTGAGCATATGGTGCCAGAACAAAAGCAGGGCAGTTCTCTTACCTCACACCCACGTCTCGTACCAGTCATCCCGGCTCCACAGGCGGACATCCAGGCCCTGCTGGACCAGGGGGTGGGCATCGCCCCACACGCACAAGGATACCATGCTGGGTATGCTGGGCAGACCTCCCCAAGTAACCTTCTATTCTGTAAAATAGAAACAAAAGCTCCTGGTCACTGTTTGCCAGAAGACAAAGAAATTGTCACCAAAATCTCAGCTTCCAGCCCACCGATGCTGAACAGAAATATGGAGACAGAGTTTGGAAGAAACAGAGTGGTCTTATTCCTTTTGCTGGAGGAAGAACACTGCAGGCTAGCACCTCAAGAACTGTGCCCCATCCCAGGGGATAGTAAGGAGTCTTACAGGTGGAACTCGTAGTCCAGGGTAAGTGATAAGGATCAAAGAGGTGAAGTGGTTTTGCATCCTTCTCCTTGCATTATTTTAAAAGTCTCCACTGACGTCAGGCAGCCTGGTAGTTGGGTCTGGCAGCCAGATAGTTGAATCCATTCGTCTCTGGGTTATCGACCTGGGACATTTTTTCTGCAAATGCAAACAGCTCTAAGGGGTGATTTGCTATAAGATAGTGCAGGTGGAGCAAATACCAGGTGCAGGATGTAGTTTACACAGTGTTAGGGGGTGACAGGCTAGCTTCATGAAGGAAAAATCTGGTTATGGACACTACAGATTAGTAAAGTTAAAATAAAACTAAGGCTGAGGACCTCTTCACAACCACCCAGGAGTGTGGGTGGGTCTCGGGTCAGGGGCTTGGGTGAACATCCGGGGCCACAGCAGCTCCAGAGGACCAGCCAGGGCTTCTCAGATCATGCACGGAGCAGACTCACGTCGCAGGGCTTTGTCTTAGCAGTCTACACCGGCTGAGTCAAGCCTGCAGGTCCGCCCTCGCACCTGGCCAGCACACTGGCCTGCTCTGCCTCAGAAACATGCGCGGTGAAGTCCTCAGGCTGCCAGTGAACATGCAGCCACGGTGACGGCACTGCATGCCCAGCTTTCTTCTTAAAACCAGAGGCCCACGTGTCCCCCAGAGGGCACCAGCGTGGGGCGGGGGGTGGGGGCTGCACAGCGTCTCTGTGGAGGCGGCCGTCTGGCCTCAGCTGCGCTGCTGACATGAGCGGGCTGATCACTCCCGCCCCAGTGGTCAGAGCCGTGGAGGCCAGACTGCGGGGTCCCCGTGTGTCTTTCTCCTGGCCTGCGGGGCAGGCAGAGGCGGCTCGGCCTCTGATGGGGGCACAGAGCGAGCACCCACAAGAGAAACAGGTCCTGGAGGGCCTCTCCGTGGCTCTGGCGGTCACCCACCCGCTCCGTGCGAGGGTCCCTCATCCACCACCCCAGCTGTCTCCATGGTTCAGTGGTCTCTCAGGCAGCACAGTCCTCTTGGTCATGGAGACCATGCTTCTGTCCAGACCAACCTGCCTCCCAAACTGGAGTCTGCTTGTGGGGAGCCCCTGCTTTGGGGCCCCCTGTGTGGTCTGGCTGGCTACTCCCAATCTAAAGGGCCCAGGGTCTCCCCAGGGCCCCTCAGATCCTGCAAAGCTGTAGGGGTGTCCCTGGGCCCTCGAAAGTCAGGGTCGAGAGATTCCAGGGTCCTCATCCCTTGCAGTTTCTTCAGCAACTCCATTTTGATGTTTTATCCACTTTTATTTACATACATTTTTAGTTATCTATTCATCCAATCAATCTTTCAGGGTTGAACTTTAATTTTTTTTAATTTTTACTTTATACTGGAGAGTGGTAAAAGAACCCACCTGCTGATGCAGGAGACGTAAGAGATGCCGGTTCAGTCCCTGGCCTGGGAAGATCCCTGGAGAAGGGCATGGCAATCCCCATGGACAGAGGGGCCTGGCAGGCTGCGGTCCACAGGACCGCAAAGAGTCGGACACGACTGAAGTGACTGGACCAGCACACAATTGGTTAACAGTGTGTGCTAGTTTCAGGTGTGCAGCAGTGACTCACTCTTGCATACATGTCTATTCTTTTTCAAATGCTTTTCCCGTTTAGGTTATTAGAAAATATTGAGCAGCATTCCATGGAGAGCCCTGTTGGTTATCTGTGTTGAATATAGCAGTGTGTGCATGTCGGTCCCAAACTCCCTAATGATCCATCCCATTCACCTCTCCCCAAAGGTAACCATAAATTCATTCCCTAAGTCTGTGAGTCCCTTTCTGTTTTGTAAGTAAGTTCATTTGTATCCTTTTTTTTTGGTTCCACATATAAATAATATCATATGATATTTGTCTTCCTCTGGCTCCTATTAGATCTTTGAATGTGACTTGGGTTAAAAAAGGCTCATGAAGTCAGGGCTGCACCTGTCCTGATGCCCGGGCCAGGGGTGTGTCTGTCCCTCGGAGGGTCCAGCCGCCCCCACCCCTGCCCCCATGCATGAGGCCGCCCTGCAGTTTCCTCGCTGTGTGGGCTCCAGTCTGGCCCTAGTCATGCCCACAAGGATTGCAGGAGGAGGAGATGGGCCCCTGACTCTGTGCAGATAAGGATTCCCTGGATGTTCCCTCTGACGTTTGGTAAGTCCAGCCTCTTTAGCAGTGCATAAGTTCAAGCTCTCCTCAAGGTCAAAGCAGGACTGGGCGTCTGCTGTGTCTGCTTAACCAGCCATGAAATGAGCCAGGTGGGCAGTTGCTTCTCACCGCCCAGCCTCAGCTTGAATGAGGGCCTGGACATTGGGGGAGGGAAGCTTCTTGTCACAACAGCCCAGGCACTGCCTTCTGTGACCACCACTTACTAAAGGATGAACATATATGCACACACCCCATTTCCCATTATCTTAAATTTTTCCAGTAATTAGTTCCTCCATCATCATTTTGGGAGAATGTTAGCATCATTGATCTTCGTTTCTTCAGTTACGAGGAGCCTGGATGGGAGGCCCCCAGAGTTGGGGCTCCCTCACTCAGACGCTCTCCCGACCTCCCCCCTGCAGACCCCCTGCTCCACTCCACAAGTCCCTGCGCCCCGAGCCCCCAGGCCCTTCTAGCTCAAAGAGGACCCCCAGCCCTGAGCTCTCATCTCCTCTGTTAGCAAAGCCTGGATCTTTCTGTTGGAGACAAATCTGAGGAAACACCACCTGTAATCCTGTTACTTTAACAAATCCTTTTCCACATTTCAGCACTAATGTGGACATTCCATGTGACTGCTGTCTCAGTGCACATACCATTGTTCTAAAACGTACTTGAAAAAAAAAATTAAAAAAAAAAAAACGTACTTGACACTGTTTCTCAAGATCTAAGTCATGTTGAAACCTGTTGTAACTGCATCATATTCCAATAACTTCATCCGCTGTGATTCACCTCCCATCCTCCAACGCTGAAATGTTCTCTTCCTCCATGTGTGCATTTTACACATTTTGTTTGTTAGTTTGCTTGCTTGTTTAGTTGCTAAGTCGTGTCCAACTCTTTTGTGACCCTGTGGACTGTAGCCCACCAGGCTCCTCTGTCCCTGGACTTCTCTAGGCAGGAGTCCTGGACTGGGAGCCATTTCCTCCTCCAGGGGATCTTCCCAACCCAGCGATCGATCTCCTGTCTCCTGCATTGCAGGCGAGTTTTTTTACCGCTGAGCCACTGGGGAAGCCATTTTACATGATGCACCACAAATATCTTTAGGAATGGAGGCCTTGTTGTTGCTGCTATTATGTTTTTATTTGTTTTTCAGCTGGGTAGTTTCCTTCTGGGGTCGATGGGATGGATAGCTTTAAGAGTCTTGACTTTCAAAAAGGCTGACTGACAGACTGATGGGCTGCGACACTCGCCTTTGGGGGGGACCCGGGTGGGTGCTCAGGATGGTAGGTGGTCACTTGGGACAGAGGACAGGCCTGTCTCTGGGGTCCCCCGAACGTGTCACGTCTAGGCATCATCATCCCCGACCAGAGGCACCCTCCTGCAGGCCCCCCACCGTATGCATGGCCAGGACCCTGGTCTAGGTTCTGCAGGACAGTGCAGGATAGAGGCCTCCTCAGAGCTCAGTGATCTGGCTCTGACCACCCCCCCCCACCTCCCTCCCTCTCTCTCCCTCTCTCTCTCTCTCTCTTTCGATTCTGCTGTGAGCAGAAGGAGGCAGAGAGGCCTGTGTGACCTGGACTAGGAGCATCCCTACCCCACCTCACGACAGCCCTCAAGGCTGGAGACTTGCCAGGCCACCAGACCCCCTGACCACGGAAAACATGAGAGGTCATACGCTGTCATATTACGATGCTGAGTCTTGGGCGATGTGGGAAGCAGCGCCCACTTTGAACCAGTTCACAGGTCTGTGCCTTTCCCCCTGTCAGGGGTCCACACCGCCATCCACCCTGGCCAGCCTGCTTTGCAGCTGTCCCCATGGGCCAAGGCCACCCTGGCCCAGGGCTGTCTGCGGAATGGGGCCCTGGTGTAGGAAGCGGCCTCCATCCTGAGAGGGTGTCGTGGGGCCTCCGAGAAAGTGATTCTGGGGCCCCCACCCACCCTGGAGAAGGAGCGAGGCGCCGCTGGCCTGGCTGTGAGTGGAGCCCTGGGTGGCTATCTGGGAGCCCCGTACCTCTCAGTTCTGGACGCAGCCACGCTCAAGGGCTGAGGGCGCGCCCGGCTCCCTGTGGGCACTGTGCCACTCATGCTCAGTTAACAGAGGGTTAATCAAGGTGTGTAAAAGTGCAGGCCCCCTCAACCCCAGGGGTCCTTTCCAGGGAGCCACGGCCAGCCAGGGCGGTGGGAGGTGGGCGGGCCGGGGCCACCGAGGGCCCGAGGGAGGACGGGGCAGGTGGCCATCCTGCTGCCTCTACTTGATGCCCAGGGCTCCTGAATGGCTCTGGGATGGAGCAGATGCCGCCTCCCAGGCGGAGACAAGAGCAGAGAGGGGAGTGTGGCCCTGGGGCATCAGTGGAGCGTTACCCCTCCAGACCCGCAGGGTCCAGGGGACTTGGACCCGCTCGGGTGATTCTAGCACTCGGTACAGCAGGGCCCGTGGCCCCGTGGGTCACTCACCTCCAGGCAGCTGCTCCAGGATGGGGCTGATACCCAGCCTCCTGGGTAGGGAGGAGCAGGGGCTTCCTGACCTCTGGGCCCGGAACAGGGAGCTGCACACACTTGGTAGTTCAGCTGGTAAAGAATCCATCTGCACAAAAACCACTACAACACTGTAAAGTAATTAGCCTCCAATTAAAATAAATTAATCAATTGAAAAAAAAAAAGAATCTGCCTGCAATGTTCGATCCCCTGGTGAAGGGATAGGCTGCCCACTCCAGGATTCTTGCCTGAAGAATCCCATGGACAGAGGTGTCTGGCAGGCTACAGTCCATGGAGTTGCAAAGAGTCGGACACGACTGACCGACTGAGCACAGCACATGTGTACACATAGTAACACGCACAAGTGCGCACACATACTTCTATGCACCAGCACACATATACATGCACCAACACACGTGTGCACACACGAATATGTGTACACACATGCACACTTACCCACATCTGTGTGTGCACACATATAAGTCCCTTGTCCCTCAGCTCCTCCCAAAGGTGCAGGTCCTAATTTCCCTAGGATGGGCCTGAGTGTCCAGCGTCTGAGCCCTCGGGCACTGCTCAGGAAGGCCCTCCCCACGGTCAGAGCCCTGTGCGTGGCCGCCCTGTTCGCGTGGCTCCCCTGCCATCAGGACCAGGACCTGGGCCTTCTGGCCACCGGGGCCTGTGTTTCAGAGGGACCAGTACCCATGGCTCCAGGACCTCACTCTCAGGCCAAACTTGGTATGCCCGCCTCAGTTTACCCACTTGGGCAGTGAGCTGGGGGACCACCAACCCTGGTAGGGAACAACACCGTGCCATTCGCCTAGATCCTGGCCAGTTTTTCCTGCATCCCTGCGGTTTCCTGACAAAGGGGAGCATGTTAGTGTTTGAAGTGTTCTCACCTCTTGCTATTTTTGCAAGAGGCCTGAGCACAATTGTTAAAAATAGAAATAATGAGGGAAAGCAGAAGCTCTGACCTTGAGTCCTGAGGCCGGGACAGGGTTCCCAGTCCCCTCTCTGGCTTGAGATGATAAATGATCATTGTGTTGTGCTTGCCCTTAGCTAATTTATCCTTGGCCTAAAGAGAAAGTTTCTGCCTTTTTTTTCTTTTGGGGGCAGGAGCTGGAATGATGCTCAGGCCTCACCTCTGGATCCGGTCTTCTGAGGGGTCCTCTGCCTGGAACTGCTGTGGGGACCCCATTCCAGGGCCCCCAGGAGCCTCACAACCCCTGCACTGGGTGAAAACCAGCGTGTCCCTACCAGACATCTGAGGATATACAGGAAATCACCCTCCACCTCCTGGCCCTGAGCTGCACGTAAACCCTGCAAAGGGGTGGAGAAGACGGGGACCCTCCTGCACCCACCTCAGCGGGGCCAGGGCATCATGCCTGCTGTCCTCGGGGGCTTGTTTGGACTGGGCTGGAGATCTGATATGTGGGGCGCACTGACCCTTCCGAGCTCTCCGGAGGCCCCAGCGGGCTCCTGAGTCAGGAGGATTGTGGGAGGACCCGGGTAGAGGCATGGGTCTCTTTTCCAGTTCCCACACCTGCGTAAGGCTGTGTGCTGGCCCCCAGGCCAGGACCTGAGTCTCTGAAGTGTACACACAGCTCTGTACAAGCTCCAGAGCAAGCGGAGCCTGACCCAGAGAACTGATGCTTCTGACCCTCATGAGGAGCCTGGGCCGCCGCCTGCCTCCCTCGGCTGGTGGCCACCCCTTAGCCTTGGGGTGGCTGGGAGGGTCCCAGCATGTGGGGTCCTTTGGGCAGAAGGAGCTGCAGAGGGTGGGTGGGGTGGCCGGCCCGTATGGTCTGATACGTGTGAGCTGGGGGCTGCATTGTCTCAGGAGCTGCCCCCCACCAAGGCTCTGGGACAAGTGGCCTGAGGCCCAGAAGTCTAGGAAGGAATCTCCAAATTCTGCAGCAAGCGTGGTCCTAGAGTAACATAGCTGTCTTTTAAAAAAATGTGCATAAACAGAAACTTTATACAATATTCTGGTATATAAAGTTAAGCAAACCAAAGTCTCTTTAAGAAGAGCCATCTGAGGCCAGGGCAGAATACTGAAGTTCTGGAATCCTGTTCTGCTTCCATCTTCACTTACCAGCAAACTGAAATGATCTTTGTATATATAAGTGGTAGGGAACAAACATAAAGAAGACTCTTTCTTGATGTGCAAATCATATGAAATTGAAGTTTAGGTATCCATGGTAAAGTTTTGTTGGGCCCCAGCCTCCCACCAGTGACACCGGCAGAGGCCAAGTCACCCCAGAGCCCCTGATCTCTTGTGTTGGGCTTGATGAAGGGCTGGGGCAGAGCCAAGGAGGCCGGTGACCCAGGTGTCCTGGCTGCCCAGCTCTTCTTGGCAGAGGAGAAATGCTGGATCTCAGGAACTGGGAATAACTTGCCCAGAGGCTAATGGATCGTGGCTGGAGCAGCCACTGCTTTGAGCGCCGATGCCTGGAGGCCAGCCGGGCCCGCCCGCCTGCACCCACATGGACACAGAAACGGCAGGTCTGCAGGTGGTGTGGGGCAGAGGGTGATCAGGCCCCAGGGGAGCAGGGGCTGGGTTGGCAGTTGGGCCGGCAGGGGCCCCAGGGAAGCCCCTCAGAGCCTCTCTGCTAGGAGAGGAGCTCAGTGACCTCCCCCTCCCCTTCCAGCTCTCTTCCCGGGCCACATGCTATCCACCGGGTGCTGGTCTGAATTCTGGGCACTTCCCACACTGTTCCGTTGTTCACGCTTCCCAGGTGGCTCAGGGGTAAAGAATCTGCCTGCCAATGCAGGAGACGCCTGGGTCAGTAAGATCCCCTGCAGGAGGGCATGGCAACCCACCCCAGTATTCTTGCCTGGATAGCCCCATGGACAGAGGAACCTGGTGGTCTCCTGTCCACGGAGTCAAGAAAGAGTCATACATGACTGAGCATGCGATACTCACTCCCTCACTCACCCTGCTGTTGAGAAGGTGGGCAGGCGGGATGGCAGCTGGTCCAAGCAGGGGTCAGTCTCCTTCTGTCTCACTGATGTACCAGGGCTCTGGGATGAGACGAGATCCAAGCGGCTCTGCACCACTTCTACTGCAGGCTGAGCATTTGGGTCCCCGACACATTTGGGTATTGAGACCTAACACCCAACGTGACTGTATCAGGAGGTGGCTTTTGGGGGAGCGGGTGAGGGCCAGGGGGTGCAGGCCTCGTGAACGGGATCAGTGCCCTCGTGAGAGGAGGGCACTTCTCCCCTTCAGCCAGGAGGACTCAGGGAGAAGGCATCTGGCTGGTGACCAGGAAGCGAGACCTCACCTGACGCCAAACGTGCCGACGCCAAGACCTAGACATCCAGCCTCCAGCGGGGAAATCAGCATTTCTGTTAAAGTCCCCTGACTGCCCTGTGAGACCCGCGGGACCAGGGGAGCTGAAGGGATATAGACACGGGCTCCCTGCACCCTGCCGCTGCAGACACGTGACAGAGGCGGGACTGGAACCCGGAGGGGAGGACACCAAATATTTTGCTGCTTTCAAGCTCAGTAGTTTCAGAAAATGGTTTTGTTTTTAGATCAGCTTGCCTCATAGGTATTTAAAACAACATCAGCCACACCCCAAATACTTCACTTTGTTCTTGGTCCAAAGACACTGAATAGGGGTCACAGCTGAGGCTCCAGACCCTGGGGGTCTCCTCAGCCTTTTGGGAGCCCGGTGACTTTGCCCAAGGGGTCCTTCCCAGGTATTCAGGATGGAGTAATGCCCCCCCCAGTCACACCTGGGCCCCTGCTGCCCGTCACTGCTGGCTGTATGCCCAGAATCCAAGGGAGCGATCCCAGGCCCCTGTGATCTACGGAGGCCACACCCCTGTGGGCAGTGCAGAGCCTTGGGAGCCTCTGAGGGAAACCAACTCCTGGGGTCCCCCCGCGCCCACCCTGCAGCACAAAGGGTATAGGTCCAGCAGGGGACCCCAGCCCTGGGGCAGGAAGCCCTGCGCCTACAGGGCGGGATTTCTGGAAAGCTCCCGTTCCTTTGCGTCACTGTGGGCACCAGTGCGTGTCCAGCCTTCCACTCCTGCTTCTCCGCTTCTCATTAACCCTATTTTTACTCCAAAGTGCTGAGGCCTCTGAAAACATCATTCAGATCTTCACACCTGCCTTCAGAAGTGAGAGGGCAGGCTGAATGTCAGATGTGACGGGGGAGAACAGACCTTCGCCAAGACTGTGTCCCAGGAAGGGTGCTCTCCCCAGCAGGTCTCCTGCGGCCTGGGGCAGGGCGCTTTCTAAAGAGAACTTGCTGCCCCCGCAGCCTCTCAGAGGCCTTCCCTGGCTCCTCAGAGAAAATCAAGACGGCTCTGAGCAGCCCCAGTGTGGACCACGGTCAGACCCTGTCTGCAGGGCACACCCTGGGGCAGGCTCTGTTCAGAGGGATGGGTGGGGACGGTGGTCCGGGAGGCTCGGGGCCCCTGCTGTGTTGACTCAGGTCACAAAAGAGCTTGAGAGAAGTGAGTCTGCTTGGCGCCCAGCTCTCCTCCTGCCTGGAGCTGGTGACGTGGGTTTGGGCCATTAGGACCCCCTAGAGAAGGGTCTGGACCCCTCCTGTCTTGGCCAGCCTCAGTCCCTCTGCCCCAACCTGGGATTGGTCCCCACCAGGGGCCCACCCTGCCACTCCTGCCCTGGGTGCCGCACGAGCCTTTCTCCGACCACTCCTCCTGTGGCTCAGCTGGTTCCCAGGAGCTGGCCCAGCTCTGGTGGGCCCACGTTTTCCGTTCATCTTTGGAGAGAGTGCAGACGAGGAACCAAAGCTTTGGGAGGATATTGAAGCCACGGGTTCTTTGGGCTGAACACAGTGATTTCCCTGAAGCACACTCAACCCTGACCTAATTCTGCTGCAGCACCAGCGAGGCTGGGGCAGGTTGGGCCTCAGTCACAAGAGCCCCGGGCAGGCGGGGGTCTGTCGACCTTGCTCTCGTAGGGGGGTCTGTGCTCTCGCAGAGCACGCAGAGGAGGGGGCCTTTGGCCTTCACCCCTTGGTGAGGGCCCGGGGTGGAGAGGCTCAGACGAAAGAGGAGCAGCTGCTTGCGTTGTCTTCTCATAAAGAGGATGGGGTTTGGCCAAGGAGGTTCCTGCAGGTGTCTGCAGAACAAAGAGGGAGGAGGGAGGCCAGAGGCCTCCCTGGGGCCCGGAGTGAGTGCCGTCCCTGCGAGACTGGTCTGGGCCAGGCCGTGCCCATGGGCGGGGCATAGACGTTGTCCTTGTTGTAAACGCTCCACCGGCAGGGAAGCTGGAGGGGGGAGCACACCTGGTCAGGCGTCACCTGAGGGCCCCGCTCAAGGCTCGGTCTGCAGGCCTGCAGCCCCTCGGTGCCCTGTCTCAGGCAGCGCACGCCTGTCCCCACAGCGACGGCGCAGAGGTGTGATGAAATCCATCTGCCATCGTAAAGCACGACATCGCTTTTCTGCAAAGCCAAGCCCAGGGCTCAGCCAAGAAACGGCCTATAAAATCCCAAATAATGACCTCATGGCATACTTTCTGATGTAAAGACCATTCTGGGCAGCTGTTTCCAGATTCTTAGGTGCAGCCACTTTACACCCTGGCTTTTACCATGTTCGCCATCTGACCCTACCAAATGCTGCCCCATGAGCCGTCTTGGGACGCAGGCCCCGTCCCTCTGGGTGACGCATGGCAGGGCTGTGCTCCTGAGCCGTTTGACCCCAGATGCCCCGGCAGGCTGGGCCAGAGGCACCCTCGGCCTCCACCGTCTCCAGTGTGCCAGGAAGGAAGCGCCAGGCTCTGTCCTGTATCTGTTTCCATGGTAACAAAGAGAACACAGGTTTTGTCTGGTCTGAACATGAGGCCCTAATTCAGGGGGTTGCCCCTGGAGAGGGCTGTGGGGGTCCCCTCTGGCCAGGTCCCCCTGACTCTAGAGGATTCATGGAAACTTCGCGAGCTGGATGGGGTTCTCAAACATGGTTCGTCACTGGAAGCATGGCTGTGGCAGCCGGGGGGATGCTGGATGGTGCCGTCGGGGTGGACCTGAAGCTGGAGAGGTGTCAGGGGGCCCCGCAGCAGGCTGCTCCCCCAGGAGGACCTGACATCCCACCATGTGGCATGTCAGCATGAGGTGTTTGCTCTAGATCCAGATATTTGACAGCTCTGATTAAGAATTTTTGCTGTAATTTATTCTCTCACTTGAATCTTGCATTTGCCTTTAAATATCAAATCTTATTTGTTTGATATTTGCATTTTCATTCTAATTAATAAGCGTGTAAATTACACTCATGCATAAAATAATGATGTTTGGTGAACGCCTTTTTACAAAATGCCTGCTTCTAAAATTATTCCCCTACACCCAGGAAAACACAGGACAATGTCACTGGTAACTTGGAGACAAAATTATTTAGTCAGTCTTCTCAATTTTGGTTTTTGACATTCAGGTTAGCAGTGGACAACCAGTAATGTCCCTTGGTCATCACAGGGAAAGAGATGACTGAATGAAGAATGTCTTTAATTACCGGGTCCTCCTTCTGCCAGGACTTCCCAAACTGGGGGCCACGGCCTGGATGACCCGTGGCCCCAAAGCAGCACCCCGGTACTCAAGCATGCCTTTCCGTTTGGATCTGGAGGCGCCTCCACTGTGGTGCCTGGTTGTTCACAGGACAGAGCACTTTGGTGCTGCTGGTGCTGCATCTGGCCGACCCAGCAAGCAGTGTCCAGCCCCAGACCCACAAACCAGCACTGGAGCTCCTGGGAGAGTGGGGCCGCGGGAGCCTCACGAGCTGTCTCTGCCCCGGGCGCCCAGATGCTCCGGCAGACCCTTGTCCTGGTCCTCCACCTGCAGATCTCCGCCCTTGGCCCCGGGGGACACCGCCCCGCACCCCGGGCCATGGAGATCTCACACAATTCTGACACCCTGCCCTCCCCCAAAGACCAGAGCCCGCGCCCACAGCCACACCCGCTTATCCCAGAGGCCTGGCTTTCTCTTTTCCGCCAGATTTCTCAGCGTTTTCCCTCTTCCACTGGTCTTTTCAGAGAAATACCTTCTTGTCTTACAATATTCGCCGTCTCCACTGTGTTGTTTGTTTTCTATGGCATTTGGTTTTGGCTTGTTCTGTAGGAATCATTCCTTCTTTATTTGGGCTTGTTTTATTGTTCTTTTCCTAGTTTCTTCAGCTGAAAGTTTCGTTCATTTAGTCATCACCATTTCCTAACAAACGCAGTTATCACTCCAGGTTTCCTCTGAGAGCCCCTTTGGTAGCACTCCATAGGTTTTCATAGGTACTATTCTCATTTGTGTTCATTTTCAAATAGTCTAATTTGCCTTTTGGTTTCCTTCACAAACCCCAAATTATTTATAGCAGTGTTTTTATTCGTGGTATTAATTTCCAGGTAGAAATATTTTTAAAGCTTAACTTTTTAAAAAATGAAACTGCATTGTGTTCAGTGAACAGACTGTAAATGATACACGCAAGTGTATCTGTATACATGTATGTGGGTATATATACAAACAGACTCCATGAACCAACCATAGATTATATATGCTTATGTACGTGTACGTGTGCACACACACACATACACACACACTCAGTGAGCAGACTATAAATTTTCTTCCTTTGAAATTTCTTGACAATTTTCCTGATATGGTCAGTTTTTGGTGGCTATATCATATGTGATAGAAAATAATATAAATTATGTATTTGAGTGATATAAAAGGTACAAAATAAAGTCAAGCTTTTTTATTGTTTGATTCGCTATTTTTTTTTTTTTGGCTTTTGATCTGTCGTTTTTTAGTTAGCACAAAGGGGCTCTGTTTCCCAGGGGCCCCTCAGGCTGTGGCTGCCGGTGGGAGAGTGAATGGGCCAGAGTCCCCGCAGGAGGTGCCTGATGGGCCGCTGCCAGGGTCAGGGGGCCAGGTTCGTCAACAGGACACTTCCCCCGGCGCAGATAGCACTGGTCTTCTTGTCCCCCTCCTGCTAGTAGTCAGAGTAAACCCCCTGCGGAGGCCCATCACCCCCCAGGCCCAGGTCCAGGCAGGCGGGGAGGGCAGGGGTTTCCCCATGCTCTCTCGCCCCCCAAACCCTGGGATGCCTGGGCAGGCACATATGGATGCCCTGTGCAGACCAGGACCCCGCCCCCCACCCGGAGGCCAGCGTTCTGGCCAGGCCAGCCGCCCCCACCTCTAGCTCCCAGAATAGCCTGTGGCCAGGGCAGGCCTGTGGTAAACAGCCCAGGAGCCTCCCTGGTGGGTCTCAGATGAGTCATCCTTTGAAAACACAGGGCTGTGGGTGCCGGCCCGAGGTGGCGGGCGGGCCCCTGCGGGCCTCCTTCCTGCTCAGCAGGCTAGACAGAGGCTGGGCAGGGGGCAGGGGCTGTGGGGGGCGGGCCGGGTGACCCACAGGGAGGGGTGAGCCAATGGGCAGGCTGCACTGTTCTCCTTTGTCCCTCGGGAAGGAGGGTCCTGGCCCCCCGGAATGTCCCCCAGGCACTGAGGCAGGACCCCGGTCACCCTGCTCTGGGTGGCCCCACCCCCTCCACGCCCACATCAGGGCACAGGGCTCCTCCCAGCCTTGCCCAGTCTCCTGGGCACCCCTTCCTAGGCGACACTGGATTAGGCTCCAGGGCTGGTCCCACTGCCCCACACGACACCCACGAGGTGCTCACAGCTCCTCTTCAGCACAAAGGCCGTGACTTCCCTGCCCTTCCCTGTCCAGGCACCAGCTTTCCTGCTTGAAAAGACTAACGGTGCCCCCTGGCAGGACGGCGGGGGCTCCCTGCACCCCCGGGAGGTTGGCACACTGCAAGGTTCACCTCCCTGAGGACGACGGTCTCACCGAGGCAGGACTCAAGGAGCATCTGGCAGGTGGGGAGCCAGGGGCCCTAAATGGGGAAGATGCAGGGGGCCTCACCCCTGGATCAACCCCCGGGACCTCACCTCTCTCCACCTGCAGCACTCCCCCTCGCTGGGGCCGCCCTTGTCCTCTGCCCAGCACCTGCTTCCCGGGCTGCACCCAGCCCTGCAGCCAGCACCTCCTCCAGTCCTTGCAGGGCAGCCGCGGGGCCTGGGGCAGATTGCCTTCAAGAAGCCCAGGGGGAAGTGGTCCAACGGAGAAAGGGGCTCCGGACCAGGATCCTCAACAGACACAGGGCCGGGCTGGGCCTGCCCAAGACGCCAGCCCCCCAGACCTCCAAGCTGCTGCTCACTCCATGGCAGGTTTCTATGCAAATGTCGTTTTCTCAGGGGCTGTCCCTGCTAAGTAGCAATCTCCTCACCCGGAGTGTGCGTCATTCCCTCTGTGGTACCAGCCTGATCTTTCCATGTAATTCCTGGCACTGCTTGACTTGGTTAACACTGATGTATTGCAGCACCAGTCTTTGGGAGAAAGAAGTCCCCAGAACTGCCCCCTGGTCTCAGATTAAGACATTTAACCTTCCTGTGCCCTACGTGAAGCAGCTCGCCTGGCCCAGTCTCTGCCCAGGGACAGGAGAACAGAGGCCTAAGGGAGCTTCGACCCTGCGTGTTTGTGTGCATGTGAGCCTCACCGACTACGCTAGAGCCTTTGACCGTGTGAATCACAACAAGCTGTGGAAAATTCTTAAAGAGATGAGAATACCAGACCACCTGACTTGCCTCCTGAGAAATCTGTATGCAGGTCAGGAAGCAACAGTTAGAACTGGACATGGAATGACAGACTGGTTCCAAATCGGGAAAGGAGGACGTCAAGGCTATATACTGTCCCCTGCTTATTTAACTTCTATGCAGAGTACATCATGGGAAATGCCAGGCTGGATGAGGCACAAGCTGGAATCAAGATTGCTGGGAGAAATATCAATGATCTCAGGTACGCACATGGCACCACCTTAACTGTAGAAAGCAAAGAGGAACTAAAGAGCCTCTTGAAGAAGGTGAAAAAGGAGAGTGAAAAAGCTGGCTTAAAACTCAACATTCAAAAAACTAAGACCATTGGCATCTGGTCCCATCACTTCATGGCAAATATATGGGGAAACAATGGAAACAGTGACAGACTTTATTTTCTTGGGCTCCAAAATCACTGTGGGTGGTGACTGCAGCCATGAAATTAAAAAATACTTGCTCCTTGGAAGGAAAGCTATGAACAACCTAGGCAGCATATTAAAAATCAGAGACATCATTTTACCAATAAAAGTCCATAAAGTCAAAGTTATAGTTTTCCAGTAGTTATGTGCAGATGTGGGAGTTGGACCATAAAGAAGGCTGAGCACTGAAGAACTGATGTTTTCGAATTGTGGTGCCAGAGAAGACTCTTGAGAGTCCCTTGCATAGCAAGGAGATCATACCAGTCAATCCTAAAGGAAATCTACCCTGAATATTCATTGGAAGGACTGATGCTGAAGCTGAAGCTCCAATACTTTGGCCACCTGATGAGAAGAGTCAACTCACTGAAAGACCCTGGTGCTCAGCAAAGTTGAGGGCAGGAGGAGAAGGAGACGACAGAGGGTGAGATGGTTCGATGACATCACTAACTCAATGGACATGAGTTTGAACAAATTCAGGGAGACAGTGAGGGACAGGGAGGCCTGGTGTGCCCAAGTCCATGGGGTTGCAAAGAGTCAGACATGACTAAGTGACTGAACAACAGCAAAGTGCATACCCATTTGTGTGTCTGAGTGTGTGTGCATGTCTGTCTGTGGCTGTGCCTCTGTGTGTGTGTGTCTGTGCATGTCTGTGTATGTATGTATATGTTTCCTTTTTGTGATTTCCTAGGATGAGTCCATTAAACCAAACCAAATTACTTCTCAGAGCAAAATATGAAGGAATCAGGCAGAAAGATTCAGCCAGGAGCTTCCATTCTCTGACCCCTGCGGTGGTGGTGGTAGTTTAGTCGCAAAGTCATGTCCAACTCTTGCGACCCCCATAGACTATAGCCCACCAGGCTCCTCTGTCCATGGGATTCTCCAGGCAAGAATACTGAAGTGGGTCGCCAGGGGTAGAAACCAGGTCTCCTGCACTGCAAGCAGACTCTTTACTGACTGAGCAACAAGAGAAGTCCCCTGACCTCCTGCAGTGAATGCTCTGTTTTCAAAGGCTTCTGTCATCTTTGCCTGTTGACACCGGACCCCAAGTTGGATAGTAGCTCATGATTCCTTCCTTGACACATCATGCCCTGCACGTGCCCGGGGCAAGGGTGTGAAGAAGGCACTGATCTTAGTGGAGCATGTGTGTTCTGAGGGGCAGAAACCATAAAAGAAAACAGATGATGGTTTGGTATCATGATGGTGTCAGTAGGAAAATAATTTGAGTGGCAGGTCGAGAAGAAGGTGGGTGGGGCTAGTGAGACAAGGCTTTAACCAGATGATAGTTGAAATAGAGGGAGAGCTGTGTGTGGGAGCCGTCATATCTCCCAAGAGCATGGCGGCTGTGGGGAGAGGTCACCAAAGTCACAGAGAGCCCCAGCGAGGCCCCCAGCCCTGATGTCCACCCTTCCTGGGGTCTTCCCACCCATGGCCACTGAAGGACACTGAGTGTGGGAGGCCTGTGTTGTGGGGCTGGAGCCTACAGAACCCCAGGGCCAAGGGAGATGCTCTGATGATCTCAGACCTAAGCACCTTCCTGCCTGGTTCCCCTCCCCAGATGGGGGGCTGCTTCTCAACCTCCATCGCAGTTTGCATCACCTCCTTGGTCTCTGAGTAACCCTGTGCAGAGTTACCTTATCTGCGCACAAATGGCACTGTCAGTGTGAGAGGGAGGGAGGGAGAGATTCCATATCTGGGGGATGAATGCCCCCAAACCTCCATCTCCAGTCAAGCCCACCTCACCCTTTGTTCCCCGCCCACCCTCAGCCCTGGCCCCAACACATCACCCACACCAGCTCCAGGAGAGCCTAGCCTTCACAGGCTTCAGATGGCCTCAGAAACATCTCTTTTGTTGACTTGCTGGGCTGGGCCTCCCTTCCTTAACTCAAGTATCTAATGGGCACCTTCTGACTGTCAGGCACTTCGCCATGCACGGAGATTCAGTGCTGAGTCTCAGGGAAAGTGGACCCTGAATTCACACTAGAGGAAACACTGGTCCGGAGAGAGCAATACAGTGAGTCAGTGGGAGAGTAGGGGTCCTACCCAGGGTCCACACCAGAGACCGGCCTCCCCTCAGTCTTGCCAGAGAGGCGTCATCTACCTGCTCTGGAAACTTGCAGGGCCAAAGGGCAGGGGGCAGGGAGACTGGTGGTGGGTGTGTTTGTGATGTCTCCCTTGGCGAGGTTCACCTACCGTCCCAACTATGATTTCAGGCCAAAATGCACATTAATATTTCCTACTGGGGGTCCAGAAGCTGCCTGGGCCCAAGGGTACCGCCCCTCTAGCTGTAGGTGGCTGATTCTGCTAATGTGGCGAAGTCAATGCACACACACACACACTGATCACACACACACACACTCTGTCCACACACACACACACACACACTCTGTCCACACACACACTCTGTCCACACACACACACACACTCTGTCCACACACACACACACACACACACACTCTGTCCACACACACACACACACACACACACACTCTGTCCACACACACACTCTGTCCACACACACACACACTCTGTCCACACACACACACACACTCTGTCCACACACACACTCTGTCCACACACACACTCTGTCCACACACACACACACACAGTCCACACACACACACACACTCTGTCCACACACACACACTCTGTCCACACACACACTCTGTCCACACACACACACACTGTCCACACACACACACACACAGTCCACACACACACTGTCCACACACACACACTCTGTCCACACACACACACACACACACACACTGTCCACACACACACACACTCTGTCCACACACACACACAGTCCACACACACACACTCTGTCCACACACACTCTGTCCACACACACACACACACAGTCCACACACACACACTCTGTCCACACACACACACTCTGTCCACACACACACACAGTCCACACACACACACACACTCTGTCCACACACACACACACAGCTCTGTCCACATACACACTGTCCACACACACACACTCTGTCCACACACACACACTGTCCACACACACACACACTCTGTCCACACACACACTCTGTCCACACACACACACAGAGTCCACACACACACTGTCCACACACACTGTCCACACACACACACTCTGTCCACACACACACACACTCTGTCCACACACACACTCTGTCCACACACACACTGTCCACACACACACACACAGTCCACACATACACACACACTCTGTCCACACACACAGCTCTGTCCACATACACACTGTCCACACACACACACTCTGTCCACACACACACACTGTCCACACACACACACACAGTCCACACACACACTGTCCACACACACACTGTCCACACACACACACACTCTGTCCACACACACACACAGTCCACACACACACACTCTGTCCACACACACTCACACACTGTCCACACACACACACACTCTGTCCACACACACACACACAGTCCACACACACACTGTCCACACACACACACACTCTGTCCACACACACACACAGTCCACACACACACACTCTGTCCACACACACACACACTCTGTCCACACACACACACTGTCCACACACACACACACAGAGTCCACACACACACTGTCCACACACACACACACTCTGTCCACACACACACACAGTCCACACACACACACACTCAGCTCTGTCCACATACACACTGTTCACACACACACACACACTCTGTCCACACACACACACTGTCCACACACACACACACTCTGTCCACACACACACTCTGTCCACACACACACACACACTCTGTCCACACACACACACACACACACACTCTGTCCACACACACACTGTCCACACACACACACACACACACACACACTCTGTCCACACACACACAGTCCACACACACACACAGTCCACACACACACACACACTCTGTCCACACACACACTGTCCACACACACACACACACTCTGTCCACACACACACACACACACACACTCTGTCCACACACACACTCTGTCCACACACACACTCTGTCCACACACACACACACACTCTGTCCACACACACACACACACTCTGTCCACACACACACACATACACACACACACACTGTCCCGCCCAAAGCCAGGGAGGGTCCGAACACCCAGGCCCCTCTCTCCCTGCCAGGCGGATTCTAACCGGGGCGCCGGCGGGGCCAGAGTTAAGGAGCAGGCTGGTCCCCTGGCGGTGAAGTGGCCCCGCACGCAGCATCCCCGAAGCTGCGCAGGCCTCCCCTCCGGGTTTGGGCCGAACACCCCGCCCCCATCATCTTCTCCAGGGGCGGCGGCCATAGCCCCACAGCCCGTCCCCGCCGGCTGCCGGGGGCGCGGGACCCGCCCGAGGCGGGGGCGTGAGGCACAAGGTCGCCTCCTGGGGGGAGCTCGTTCGGCGGCGCAGACGCCCAGCGGTCTCAGGGAGGGACTTGGCCCGGGTTTCGGCCCTCGGCTCTTCCGGGAGAGCCGGGAGGCTGAAGCGGGCCGAGGTCGGGGCGCCGGGCCCCTCTCGGCAGAGCCTGCTCAGCGCGGCCTCCGCGCCCTCCGCCTGGCTCTCCGCGCTCCCTCGGCACACCGCGGGGAGGAGGCGCCCTCTCCGTAGCGGGCCCGGGGCTGCAGAGCATCGCGGGGCGCAGCCGAGGGGAGGAGAAAGGAGACAGCGGAGTAGGCCCGGGCTCCCGGGACGCCAGCTCCGCCAATCTGCGGGCGCTGACGCGGGGGGCGGCTCCGCGGCGCTCGGATATCTGCCCGCCCGCCGGGGCGCCGGGCGGCGAGAGGTTGGGCCGCGAGGGCGCCGCGCTCGGGGAACGGCCGCTGCACCTGCCCGGGACCTCGCCGGCCTCTCCGCGCGCCCTGCCCCCGCCGGCCCCGCTCCCGCCCTCTCCTCGGTCTCAGCGGCCCCGCGCCTTGGTTCCCCCACCAGGTCCTCACCTGCGGGCCGCAGCGCGCGCGCGCGAGAGAGCGCCGAGCCCTGCCCGGGGAGCCGCCCCTTCGCCTGGCCGGCCGGGCACCCAGCGCGGCCCACGAAGCCGTGGAGACTGCGCCGAGCCTCGGATCGGACAGCGCCGCGCGGTTGCCACCGCCACCTCCGGGCCGCCGCGCCTGGGCCGGGATGGGCCTAAGTGTCCGGTCCCTGCGCGCCTGATGAGCGCGGCCGCGGCCCCGGAGACCCAAGCGGGCCGCTACGTTCGCGGGGCCTCACCAGGCTGCGCCCCTAGCTCCGCGGACCAGGGCCGCTGGGCCGGGCCGGCCGAGGGCGCCGCCGCTCCGGAGAGGCGGGAGGGAACTGCCTCGACATGGCCGGGCAAGCGGGCGCTTTGGCGTCGGGCGCCCTCCGCGTGGGACAGCTCCAGGGCTGGTAGCCGGTCGACGCCAGATGGACCTTGACCCGCGCCGCGGCACCGCCTTCGTGCCGAATCAAGGCTAGAGGGGCACTGGCGGGCGGCGCTCCGGGGGCGCCCGGAGGTCCAGGCCGCGCTCGTCTGGGACCATGAAAATGATTCTGGTGCGCAGGTTCCGCGTGCTCATCCTGATGGCCTTCCTGGCGGCTTGCGCGCTGCACCTCGTGCTGGATCTGCTGCCCAAGCTGGAGCGGAGCGCCGCGCGGCCCTCGGGGGAGCCCGGCTGCTCCTGCTCGCAGCCCGCGGCGGAGGCGGCGGCCCCCGGATGGGCCCAGGCGCGCGGACACCCCGGAGGGGAGCTGGCGGCCGCAGCCTCCGCCGCCGGCGACGCGGGCTGGCCCAACAAGCACACGCTGCGCATCCTGCAGGACTTCAGCTCTGACCCTTCTTCCAACCTCACGTCCCACTCGCTTGAGAAACTGCCCCCCGCAGCCGAACCGGCCGAGGGCGCCCCGCCGGGGCAGGATCCCGGCGTCCCGCGCCCCCCAGATCCGGCTCACCGGCCGCTACTCCCAGACTCCGGCACGCGTGGACCTGTGCCGCCCCCTGGCCTGAGCCGGGACGGCTCCCTCCTAGCCAGGCTGTTCCAGCACCCGCTGTACCAGGTCCCCATTCCACCTCTAACGGAGGGCGATGTCCTCTTCAACGTGAACAGTGACATCAGGTTCAACCCCAAGGCAGCGACGGGAGAGAACCCAGACTGGTGAGTGGGGCAGTGGTCGTTGAGGTGGGTGCTGGAAGGCTGGACTCCAGAGGCAGCCAGGAGCCTTCTGAGAATAAGGAGCCACCCAGGGCCGCTTCCCAGGAGGCGCCCTTGCACATCCGAGGGGCTGTGTAAAGAGCCTCAGGGTCAGGGACTCCCCGGGGCATGGACCTTGCAGTAGGAGCCCCAGAAAGGGGAGTTTGGGGGCACACAGCAGGCAGACTCCAGGCACTGCCTTTGTCTCCAGAATGACCGCCTCCCTGAGGAGGACTGCTGGGCAGCTGGGAGCTCTTCCCTGTGGCCACTGGCCTGGAAGGCAGGCGGGGCAGGCGGGAGCCGGGAAGAGTCGGCTCTGCACTTACGGGAAAGCAGGGCTGGCTTGCAGGGCCTGGTCTCTGGAGCTAAAGCGCTTCCTTGGGAAGCGACTGGCTGCCGGCTTCCAGGGACTTGGCAACGCTGCTCTGGTGGACACGTCAGGAAGGTCTGGAGCGGCCTAAGGAGCTTTGTAAACCACTCCCTGAGAACAAAATTAGTGAGGGGCGTGCTGACCCCCTGAGGCATTACTGAGAGGCTCTCCCAGCCAGGGTGCCAACCATGCCAGCTGCAGACAGCAGCGGCTCCCTAAAAGGCCAGTGGTGTCCCCAGGGGCATCCCTTTAACCGCTTTAAACCCCTGCCCCCAAGGCCCTTAGCCACACAGACCAAAGTAAGCAGATGCTGCAGCCCAGGGTGATGAAATATTAACCAGCAAGGCCAACATAAATAACTACCTGCGAAAGGTTACCCAAGCAGCTGAGGGGAAAGGCCAGCTTTCCAAAACATCTCATAAAAGCCTTTCTCCTTTGCATTTGGACCAGGCCCAGGGTTTTCAGTCTAAACACACCAAGGTGTTTGGTAGCCTCTGAGCTTTGTCTGCTGGCCAGGTTCACCGGAATGCTCAGCAATTTGAGAGGCAGAGCCATGAGCCAGGCCTCAGCCTCTTTGTAGGAGAGAGAGAGAGTCCGGAGCAGCAGTCAGTGATGGGACCCCTAGGCAGCTTCTTGTGACCTGTCATGTCCATCGTGGGGCAGCATTTGGCTGAAAAGGCCTCACTTGCAGGTGAATTAGCCCTTAGGTTCCGCTGTTCCCTCTGGCAGCAAACAGGGTCTGTCCTCCCTCCGACTGGCCCCTTGACTCCAGAGACAAGGACGGGCCACGTGGGCAGCAGGTCCTCGATTTGCGCTTGGGCTGGAGTGAGCACCACTTTCCTCTCTCCCCACCCAAGGCTGCTTCCTGAAAATCAAATTTAGCCTCTTGCATCACTGCTGCCCTGAAGCAGAACACCCAGCGAAGGCTTCAGCCAGACTGGTCTCGTCTGCCCCTAGGAAGGCAGCAGCCCCTCATACCCCAGGCTGGCAACATGCTGGCCAGGCTGTTTCAGAGACCCCAGGACAGACCCGGCGGGGCCTAGCGCTGACAGCTGGGGTTTGGTCTCCTTTAGTTATAGCTGTCTGTGGCGTCTCTCGAGGATAAGTGAGAATTACGGGCCTTCAGATATGTTATTAGTCGGTTGAACAACAGCCACAGAAAAAGTGCGGACGTCGCAGGGTCCTGTTTGAGCAGAGGCTCCTCTAAATAAACCCACGTTTGTTTGGATCCACAGTGAAAACCTTGGCGTCGGTGCCAACTCCCCCGTCCGTCCCGAGGCTTTGCTGTTTGTCCTTTCCCTGCTGACCTGGGTCACCTTCATTTGTGCAGGCCACATGAAGGTCCTGAGGATGGATTCCTGCCCACCGGGGAGGCGGCCGTGGACTCCTATCCCAACTGGCTCAAATTCCATATCGGCATCAACCGATATGAGTTGTACTCTCGACACAACCCAGCAGTGGAGGCCCTGCTCCGTGACCTGGGCACCCAGAAGATCACCAGTGTGGGTAGGTTCCCTTGTGCCCGGCCGGCTCCTTGCTGAAGCATCACCTCCTGGGCGAGTTATACCAGCAGCCTTCCTGGAGGAGGCGCCCACAGGCCTTCAATGCTGTCTGTAGTTGAGGGGGGATGGTGGAGAGGGAAGGGCTGCCTTCTGCTGCAAAACAAGCAAGGTAGGACAAGATGCCACCCAGCCCATCCTATTATTCTGCTGGGCAGGGGGGTTGGGGCCAACCCTGCAGGTGAGGAAAGGTCAGCCCTGGCAGCCTCAGGGAGACACCGCAGAGAGGCCAGAGTCTCCTGAAGCTCACATCGGCTCCTGGATTCGGGGCGGACGGGGAGTGACCGTGGCTCCACTCTGCCCGGGGCAGAGCCCCATGCACCGAGTAGTTTGGAGGTGACATCTCCGAGGACTTTGGGATCTGCTAAAACAGAGGATTCAGTGCACCCAGTTACTGATTTCAAGAAAATGTGTCAGCAGTGGTCTCTAGGCGTGGAGGTTTGGTGCCTTTGTTCTCAGGCCTGTAGGCGATTGTTTGTGAAGGTCCCGGGTTAGTCACCAGTGGCTCCCAGAGCCGAGGGGGCGGGCAGAGGCCCTGGGTAGGAAGAGCAGTCCTGGGAGGCCCAGAGGGTGGAGGAGGACTCGGGAGCACGATACTGGGAGCAGGGGACTCCAGGCAACGTCTTCCTGACGTCTGGACTGTCCTGTGGCTTAAAGGGCTCTGCTAACCAGGTTCTGTCTGTCTCCAGCGCCAGGGAGCTGGGTGTTGCTTGCGAGGCTGGCAGCTGGGGGTTTCCAGAGCTTCTTAGAGGCTATGTTGGGTGTCTCAGCCCGGCGCTGAGCTATTTCTGGCACCCGCCCTCCTCCTTGCATGTGGCTGTTCACCCTGAGAACACGATGAACACCCTCCTGGCCAGGGCAAGCTGGTGGTCTCCCCTCCTTGACGCCGCCCAGGAGGAATCTGAGCGCCTCCAGCCTCCCCCTGTGCTGGAAGGCGGTCTCTGCGGCCGGCGGGGACTGCTGGGGAGAGGCCATAGCTGGCGCATTCCCTGCCCTCCTGAACAGACGAGGCTGTTAGAGAAACACCCAGTGTGGTGACCACTCATCGTCTGTTCCACAGGCTCTCCTGAGCACTTCCATGTCTCAGGGCCCCATCTGGGCAAGCAGTTGGGGTAAGCCCGACCCCGGCAGACTTCTGCTACATACTGACTTGCTTGTTTCCGGGGGCCCAGAAATGCATACATGATGGGCAGAGAAATTCCAGGGCGATAAGCGAGGAGGGGACCTCCACCCTGCAGGACCGGGTCCTGGATGGGGCAAAGGCTTTCATGGTGGAAGCTGGCAGGGAACACAGGACTTTGGGGGGAAACTACACCAGCATTTGAAAATTAGGGTTTAGGGAAGTGCAGCGTTCAAGCTTGCAGGCCACTGTCCACCATGGTCTCCCATCTGTCCAGTAGGCTCAGGCACGTTGCGTCTTATTCCGGGAAGCTGGCCTGTGCACCAGGCGTGTGCTGTATTGACTCGGGCCCTGAGCAGGGCCTTGGGTAGAGGCAGGGCTGGGAGGGCCCCATGGGCTGGCCAGGCTCCCTGTAGCCCTCAGGGCACAGCTGGCCGCCCGCCCCACTCTCACCGGACGTTGCTCTGCACCCAGGGGCCTGCGAGCCACTGGAGGAAGAGGGCGGGCCTCTTCCGTGCCCTGGGGACTGACCTTGGGCCACCCCCATCGGGTCCAACTGTCCCGGGCTTGGTGCCCAGGCTGCCTGACATCCCAGTGGCCAGGACCCCACCCCAGAGTTCTGGCTTGCTCTGTGCCCAGCGGTGGGACCTGGACTGAGGGCCTGCCCAGCTGTGTCCTGCGGGCTGTTGGAGCTGCTCTCATTGCTGGATGACCCTGGCCAGCTGGCCCTAATCCATCACGTTCCTTGGGGCCATGGGCTGGTCAGAACCCAGGCTGTCACTCACAAGTGCCTGATGAGCATGGGAAGACTGGTGATGGCCCTGGGCGGCATTCCCCGTGGTGAATGGCGGTCCCGGGGTGTCCCGGTTCCCCCGTCATGGGCCGGAGTGGCTCTGGGCAGACAAATCCAGCTCTGTGGGCCTCCTGGAGTCTCTGTGGATCACAGAGGTGGTCATAACCTCGACCCTGTAATCTCCAGCTTGCAAATCCAAAATCATAACCCATTTAACAGCAAAACCCGACCCAACATGAACGGACATGGAGGCAAAAGCTAAAATGAGAGGCTGTTTCTGAATCTTTGTTTTTCTCGCTTGGAGTGAACGTTCTCACATTCCTCTGTGGACACAGCAGTGTGTTTAAGTCCCAGGCTCTGCCCCCAACCTGCCCCGGCTGCAGGTCCTCTGAAATGGATGCCCCTGCGCCTCTTGTCACCTGAACACTTCTGCTCCCAGAGATCTTGAAGGAGGGTGTGTGTCTGAAGCCTGCCTCAGGGGTTGCTGAGAGGTGGGAGCAGAGGCTGTGGCACCTCTGTGCGGGGCGGCGGCGCTGGGCAAGCTGGAGTCCAGTGAAGGCCTTGGCTGGATGCTCAGCCCCACTCCGCGTGGCCTTGGGCCCGGAGGGGCTCCCACGGACTCACACTTGGGAGGAGACCCTCTTCCTGGAGAAGCAGAGCATCACACTGGGAGTGGGGCTGGTCTGGCCAGATGCAGGCCTCCCCTGGAGAATGGACACTTTCCCTGGGTGGGGGCGGGGGTGGGGGTGGGGTGGTGGCCCTCCCATCCAGCTGGACATTTTGATTAAAAACCCCACTGCTGAGACAGTGGTTTCTGACTGGGCCCTTGGCCTCACAGAGCCACAGGGTGGATTTAGAGACAGGGGTCCCTGGACAAGAGCTGTCTGCTGCCGGGGGCCCTGCCCCTGGCACTACTGTGACCTGGGGGTGGGTGCAGCACTCAGAGGCCCCGTAGGAGTCTGGGGTGCAGCACTTCATGGGAGCCTGGAACCAACCTTGGAAGTCAGGGTTCAGCAGCGCTGTCCTTTTGAGCTTAAAATAGAAGAAGAGCTAGAAATCCAGCCCATCTCCCAAGTCCTGTCCTGCAAATAAGGGAACAGGCCTCCAAGAAGGCGGGCTTGCCCGTGGTCAGCTCATTCCTGCCCCTAGCTCCTGACTTGGTCCTGCCCTGAGCCGTCTCTTCAGTCTTGGAACGTGAGAGAAGGTGTGGCAAAGAGCGGGGCTCCTTCCAGACTCCCAGAGAGATTTCTTTATCGCTGGGCTCCTGGCTGCCTGGTAATGACCCTTGGCTGCCTCTAGAGAGTTCAGATGTTATCTGCCTCCATTCAGCTTGAAGCCAGGCCTGTGGAGGCCTGGGCCTTGCTGGTGACGATGGTGACGATTAAATCAATATTATGGACAATTACGCGTCCAGAGTAAATGACCCAATTGACTACTCTGTGCTCTGAGTCATTTAAAAAGAAGTCACGTAGCAGGAGAGGATTCCGGCAGCCTCTGACCTGAAGCGCAGGCCCTGCAGTTGTTCATCCAGGTCAGGATGGAGCCGTGGGTGGAGCTGAGCAGAGGTGATGGCTCCACTGGACAGATGCCCCAGACACTCACTGGCCTGCTCAGGCAGCCGCCCCGGGGGCCTGGAGGCCGCGAGGCCACCCTGCCTAATGAGCAGGCCCCTCAGGAGGGCAGCTCCGGCCCCAGGAAAGTCACAGTCCCGTGCCCACCCAGAGACACCGCCGCTTTGGGCCCTAGTGCCTCCAGCTCTTCCGATTCATCGGCGGGGAACCGAAAGTGCCCTGTAAGCCGGATGCCCAGCCCGGGGCCAGAAGGCCTCTGTCATCCCGGAGGAAGGACCCAGGCACCTCGGGGCTCCAGGGGGAGGCGGCGAACAGCTGCGTCCTGTCTCCGTTCTCTCGGCTGTCGGGCGGAAGCGGAAGGACAGAGCACCCGTGGTGCTGACCCAGCGCCCGCTCCTTCCACCTTGCGCCAACGCGGCCGTGTCCCTGGACTCCAGCGGACGGCTTTCTGAGTGGGTTCAGTCCGAGCCCCAGGAGGGAGCTGCTTTCCACAGGTGGTGCTGTGGTTTCCCTTTCCTGCGAGTGGGTCTCAGCCCCGCCCCAACCCCATGGGAGCGCTGGGCCAGGGTATGGAGCTCCCTTCGAGAGAGGCGGCTGCGGTCGGGGGAGCGGAGGAGCGGTCTAGGGCGCCAGCAGGGTGGGGAGCAGCACCCCGCCCCCACTGTGCGGCCCTCCGATCCCTCCGCCGTCGTCCCGGTTCCTAGGCCCGGCTGCCCTCCTGCTACGGCTCCTCCAGCCCGGGCGGCCCTTCCTGACCCTGAACGCTCCGCCTGTCTCAGGCCTCGGTCCCAGACCCTCGCTCACCGCCGCGCCCCCGCGCCCTCACGTTGCGCCCACGGCGCGGCCTGTGCCCGGGTCTCGGCCCCCTCTCTCCCATGCATCCGCACTCACAGGCCTCCGCGGGCAGCAGCTGACCGTGCTCTTTCCCTCCCACTGCAGCCATGAAGTCAGGCGGCACACAGCTCAAGCTCATCATGACTTTCCAGAACTACGGGCAGGCGCTGTTCAAACCCATGAAGTAAGTGCCCGGCCAGCGGGTGGGGAGGGGGCGAGGGCCGTGAGGTCGCATCTCAGCTGCTCAGCCGTGGTCTTCTTGCCAAAAGACAGCCAGGCTTTATGTGCATGGGCAGACCTATGCCCATGAAGCTTTATTTCTGAAGCTAGTAGGTCAGCTGATTTGACCCCTGATCCCTATTCCATATAAAATAGAAACTGTGCTCCCCCAAATCAAAAGGAAGCACTCAGTGGCATCTGAAAATCGTGGGGAGGGTGGCGAAGGCACGTTTGGAAGGCAGACAGCCCCAGAGACTCACCACGCGCGTCTGTGGCATGTGATGTCCGCTCTGGCGGTCCTGGGGCTTGGGTGTCTCCCATGGGCCGTTCGGTTAGTTTCACACGGGGCCGTCTCTGCCCTGACGAGAGGGTTCATCATGTTTAAAGCACGGGCCGCACCCCCAAGGGTCCGTGAGGCCACTCAGTGTCAGTGTGTGGAGGAAGTTCACATCTCCTTGTGGACTAGGGAAGACAACTGGCCGACCCCTGCTTTGTGACCGTACCGACCACCCAGGTGCACACGCCCGCAGCGTTCGGGGGGTGTGATGCGGGCTGCACGTGGGCTCCGTGGGCCCTGTAGGAGACGGGATCCCCTGGCACCACGGGCCCCTGCACGCCCTCTCAGGCTGGAGCTTGAGTAGAGGGGCCCCTTCAGGCCCCTGATATCCTGGCGATGTGCTGGGGAGGAGGGTGCTGCAGGCGGGGTTAGGCTCCAACTCTCACTGCTGGCCCTCCCTGGCGGTCACAGGAATCCAGGACAAGCACCAAAACCCACCACGTCCTTGTCACTCCCTCAGCCGCACTCTGGGGCACAGGCCTCCCGTCTCCGGGGTGCGTCGAACACAGTCCAGCAGACTGACCCCGGGTGTGTGCAGAGCCGCAGGTGGGCCCATGCCTGGCCCTAGGGGGTGGGAGCCGAGTGGCGCGGGCAGGGCAGCCTCTGCTGGGGCCCCAGGGCTCCGGGCTTTGTGCTGCTGGGACTCGGACAGGCCCGCGGGGGCAGCGGCTCTGGGCTCCGCACCTGGGCTTGGGGTGGGGGGTGGGGGCTCGGGGGACTCTCCCGGGTCAGTCCTCTCCTTGGGCATCCAGCCATGCTGTGTGTGCAGGTGCCCTGGGGCTACGCCCACGTTGAGGGCTTGCACAGCATGTGGTTTAGTGCACAAGCACCTCTGTGGGGTGGAAGTGTCATTGTTGTTATTATTCTGCCAGGTAAAGATGTGGGAATCAGGGCTTGGTGAGGCGGCAGACCACCCAAGGCTGACCAGACTCTGGAGCCTCCCAAGGCCAGGGCGCCCAGCCTCTAGCCCCCCTCAGCCTCCCCAGCCTCCCCCTACCGCGGGGTGACGTCACCTCCATGGTCACAGGAGGCATGAGTGGCAGCTGCTGTGGTCTGGCAGACCCGGGCAGCCAGGCTTTGGAGGCCGCTTGGAAAGGCCGCAGAGTTCACCTCTGCCCCCTTCTGCCCTGAACTCTCTGCCCTCAGCCTGTGTGTGCCAGAAAGGACGTCAGGGTTCCTGTCCAAAGGCCGCACATGGAGGGTCAGCCTAGGGCGCAGCTCATGTCCCATGGGCTGAGGCTGAGGCTGGGCTGAAGCCATGGAAACAGTGTGGGGAATCCCCTGGTGGCCAGGGAAGCTGAGGCCGGGAGGACAGTGCGTATGCACAGCCAGCCTCCCTGCACGCTGCGCTCCGGGAAGGGGGCCCTGGCCGCAAGGCAGGCTCTGCTGGGCTCACGCTGCTGACCTCACACCCTGGCCAGCCCTCCCGCCACTCCTGCTGGCCCGGCCCACGCCCGCCCTGGCTCCGGGCTCTGACCTGCCCCAAGTCCGGCATCTGCTGAGGTCTGGTCGCTGGCAGCCGCCACCCTCCTGATGACCCCGGGGCACACCATTCCTGCCCCCACAGCCATGGTCTGAGCAGGAAAGCAGCTGTGGTTTCTGACCATAGCATTAAGAAAATAAATATATGATTAATAATTCCCTTAAAAAAAACAAAGCTCTCTTCGGTGAGCTCATAATGTCTTCGTAATGAGCGTTCTGAACTAATCAGGTGGGCGTCTTCTCCGAGGTCCTGAAGGGCTGTGCTGAGAGGGCCCAGGCGGACTCGGTCCTGGGGCAGGAGCAGGCCGGGCACAGGGCGATCCCGTGGTGTGAGGGGGCCGCTCACAGTCTAATGGGTGTATTTTAATAGACGTTGAAAAATGTATAACTAGCACATTAGCCTGTCAGTTGCTGGATTGTCTTGCTTTTAGTGTTAGAGCAAGATGTTTTAGCACCTTTATCCAGATACAATTCACATAGATCGAAATTCAGCCACTTGGAGTCTGTCACCCAGTAGCTCTCAGTATATTCACAGAACTGCACAGCCATCTCCACAGTGTTGAACTGCTCCGTTACTCCGGAAAGGAACCTTGTAAAAAGTTGTCCTTCCTCCAGGCCTGGACACACCTAGTCTGCTTCCCGTCACTGTGGACTTGCCCGTCCTGGGATTTCACGTGAACAGTATCAGTCGCTGTCGGCCTCTGTGCCTGCTTCTCTCGCTGAGCGTTGGGTGTTCAGGGTTCGTCCACGTCGTGGCGAGTGTCTGAGCCTCTTTCCTTTCTGTGGCCAAACACTGAACAATGCTCCCTGCTGTGAATGGGCCACATTTTACTTGACTTACTTGCTTTACTTTACTTTCATCTGTCAAAGGGTATTTGCCTTATTTCCACTTTTTGAGTGTATGGATAACGTTGTATGAACATTTGTGTACAGGTTTTTGGGTAGACATGTATTTTCATCTCTCTTGGGTGTAAACCTAGGAGTGGAATTGCTGGGTCCAGAATAACTCAGTGTAACTGTCTAAGAAGCTGCAGCCACTTCTCCCGGCAGCTGCCCTCCCCAGCGATCTCTGCAGGCTCCACAGCCCTTGTCTTTATCATCCCTATTGATCTTCACCATCCTGGTGGGGGTGGACCGTGTCTCTCTGCGGTTCTGACTCACAGTTCTCTCCTGACTAATGACTGCGAGCATCTTTGCACGTCCTGTTGGCCACTTGGATCTTCTTTGGAGAAACGTCTGTTCAGATCTTTTGCCGCTTGCTGTTCAGTTGGTCGTCTTTTCTATTAGTAAGTTGTGAGAATTCTTTGTGTATTTGGGTTCAAGATCCTTATCACACACATGGTGTCTTTTGAGGCACAAGGTTCTCATTTGGAGGGTGTTGAGTTCAACTGTCATGCTGTTGCTTGTGCTCTGGTGCAGTATTTAAATTTTAACATTAGAAAAAGTCCATGCTAGCTCACAGTGGTACCAGTGATGTGTGTGCCTGGATGGAAGCCTTGGTGTGTCCACAGAGACAGGAGGCCTGACAAGGCCATTCGTGTGTGACCTCCAGTAAGTTCCTTCCCTCCCTGGGACTCAGTTTACCCATCTGTCAACAAGGGCGTCTAAACTCTACTGGACTGGATTTAGGAGACAGGGCACCACGTTTATGGAAGGAAGCCGGGAGGGGTTGGCGGTTTGGCGAGGCGGAGCGAGACAGCACAGATAAGCCAGAGTGTGCATCAGATTCCACCGTGCTCCTCAGAAGGGAAGCTTCTAGCCTGCTCATGACGCTGGCTGTAGAAATGTGCATTCAGCCACCACACTCACAGTGAGCCTAGCCTGTCCTCCTGCCTCTGAGGGCCTTGACCCTGGGGCACGGGGCCTTGTGCTCAGGCCTGGTCTGCAGGACAGACAGGGGAAGGAGGGCTGAGCACGAGTGTGAACGTCAAGTGGGCATCACGCCAGGCCAGGAGTCCAGCCTGGAGGAGGCGACACATTCTAGGACTGGGTGGCCTCTGAAGGCTGGCAGCCCAGGGCCACTGTGTAGAAGACTACATCAGAGACTTTCTAAACTGAGATTAATTTAAATGAGATGAAGTTGCAGCCTAGTCTTTCTCCACACCTGGGCATCAGGGGTTGCATGTGGCTGGTGGTGCCATGTTGGACATGCCCAGAGTCACAGAAAGTGCCCTGGGACAGAACTGGTGGGGAGATGAGGCCAGGCAGCTGGAGACGGGCAGGGGCCAGGCCTTGGCAGGCATCTGGACCTGGATGTGATCTTTTCCCCCACTGTACAGGGACAGGGCTGGGAGGGTGGGAGGGCTCACCGGGAACCAGAAGTGAGGTGTGGGATGAGGACGGGGACAAGCCTGGGTCCCAGAGACACGTGGAGGGAGGCAGACGCCCTGGGCATGGGGACGGACTTGCTGGGGCGAGAGAGTGAAGGCTTCCGGCCTGGGGGACAGTGGCCAGGGGGCCCTGCAGGGGGTGTCCAGGCAGGCCAGGAGCACAAGGCAGGGCCGCGTTGCGGAGGGCATCTTGCTGTGAGGCCTTGCAGCCCCCGTGCCATCTCTGGGCCACAGTTGCCTTCTGCTGCTTGAGTCTGGACAAACAGGAAGCTTTGGGTCCTGGCCCTTCTGGCACCTCTGTGTCTTCAACCAGTAAGGCCATGGGTTCGTACTGGTGGGGGTCTGGGAACCACTGCAGCTCCCTCCCCAGATCCATCCTTGCTAATTGTCTGGGTGTCCTGGGGTTTGCAGTTTTGACTTGTAGGCGTTAGAGGGATGACAGATATTGAGTGTGCTGTTTAGGGTGCACAGCTGAATGCAGGCTGCAGACCGAGCCGCAACTGTGCTTCTGCTCAGGTCACTGGCCAGCAGAGACTCATCACTCCCCACAGCCTGCTGAGGCTGCTTTGAAGTCCCCATCTCCACCAAAACAGCCGGGTCACCACCTGAGAGTTTGGAACCCAGAGCTGCAATGCCCTCTGTGTGGTTTGGGATCCAAAGCATGTTCAGGCGCTGGGAGGGAAGGAAAGCACCCCTGCCCCCGGGTTGCTGTGAGGGGAAAATAACTCCAACAGCAAGACGACACCCCCGGGACATACGGGCCTGCCGCTGGAACTCCGCAGGCCCAGCCTTGCTTGCAAACCAGAGGAGAAAGAG